ATGAATGGGAAAGCTCATTAGTAAAGGCAAACATACAGTAAAAGCTGGAATGGTCCACACACAAGTATATCAAAACTAATAACTGTGAGGAGAGTACAAATGCAGGATACTGGAAATGCCTTTGAAATTAAGACACTAGCAACTTAAAACAATCATAAATCTAAGCACCTATGGTCAATTAATCTAAAACAAAGGAGGCAGGAATGTACAGTGGAGAAAAGATAGTCTCTTCAATAAGTGGTACTGGAAAAACTGGACAACTATATGTAAAAGAATGAAATTAGAATATTCTCTAACCCCTTGTACAAAAATAAACTCAGAATGGATTAAAGACCAAAATGTAAGACTGGATACTATAAAGAGGAAACACAGGCAGGACACTCTGACATAAATCACAGAAATATCTTTTTGGATCCACTTCTAAGAGTAATGAAAATAAAAACAAACATAAACAAATGGATCCTAATTCAACTTAAAAGTTTTAACAAAGCAAAGGAAACCACAAACAAAATGAAAAGATAAAGTACAGAATGGGAGAAAATATGTGCAAGCAATGTGACCAACAAGGGATTAATCTCCAAAATATACCAACAGTTCATGCAGCTCAGTATCAAAACAAACAACTCAATCCAAAAAATGGGCCAAAGATCCAAACAGACATTTTTCCAAAGAAGACATACCATAATTTGAAAATATGCATGCACCTCAATGTTCACTGCAGCATTATTTACAAGAGCCAAGACGGGGGAGCAACCTACATGCACATGGACAGATGAAAGGATAAATAAAACGTAGTACATATACACAGTGGAATATTACTCAGACATAAAGAATGAAATAACACCATTTGTTACAACACAGAGATTATCACACGAAGTGAAGTAAGTCAGAGAAAGACAAATATATATCATTAATATGTGAAATCTAAAAAAAATGATACAAATTAAATTATTTATAAAACTTAGACAGCCTCACAGACATAGAAGACAAACTTACGGTTACCAAAAACAGCAGGCTGGGAGGAGAGGAATAAATCAGGAATTTGGGATTAACATATACACACTACTATATATAAAATAGATAATTAAGAAGGACCAGCTGGTCTAGGTTTTGTAATCAGACAATTTAGGACTCAAATTGTTGGTCTGCCATTTACTTTTTATATAAGCCCAGTAATTTACTTTGCGCTATGAGTCTTAACTTACCTTTCTAGGGATCATTATAACCATCTTATAGTACAGTTGTCAAATAAACAATAAACATGTAAATCTGGCAAATTTTAAGAGTCTACTTTGATATTTAAACATTCATCTAATAAAGGACTCATGTTCAGAATATATATAAATCTCTAACATCAATAGCACAATCCATAAAAGGAGGCCCAAAGATTTAAATGGCCCCTTCAAAAGGGAGGATATCCAAATGGAAACATGAAATGAGTTCAATCTTGTTACTGGTCAGGGAAATGCAAAATGAAACCACAATGATTTACTGTTGATGGCTAAAAATACGTAAATAAAAGAGAAAAAGAAAACATTCATAATACCAAGGACTGGGAAAACTGAGATTCTCATACACTTACAGTGGGAGTGTCAAAATGGAACTTCAGTGAACAGTTTGGTGGTGGTATATGTACCAAAGTTGAATACATTACATTCCAAAAATGAATACATATGTGCACCAAAAGACATGCATAAGGTTTATAGGAACTATTTGTAATAGCTCCAAAGAGAAAGCACAATGCCCATTGATGGTAAGATAAATGAAGTGTCATTATTTGTATAATTAAATATTATACAGCAAATAAAAATGAAGACACTATTGCCACTTCTAAAATGTATCAGTCACTTTCACAAGGTTGAGGGAAAGAAAACACACACAAAGGGTATTTAGTTACATATGAAGCTCAAAAACAGGTAACCAAATTTATAAGTCTGAATAAAATGGTTTTCACAGTCATGATCAAATGGAGACATGAAGGTGGCCTTGAAGTGTGACAATGTCCTATTTCTTGATCTGGGCGGGGATGGTAATGAGCATAAACACTTTCTAAAAATTCAATGAACCTAAGATTTATGGGCTTTTCTGTTTACATAATATATTGCAATAAAGTGTTTACAAATTTTTTAAAATGATTTAACTATGTGTGGGTGTGACAGGAATACAGGCAGTAGGGAATACCTAAAACTGATAAATTAAGAAACAGTTATGTAACACACTATCTTAAAAATAAAACCACCACAAAACAATTAGAAGTTAAAAATGGTTGCCCTCAGGCATGGGAAGGGACTGTTATTCATTAATTTTTGGTACTAGAATTTATTAAGTGACATGCATGTTTATAGGTTCAGTTCAGTTCAGTTCAGTCGCTCAGTCGTGTCTGACTCTTTGCGACTCCATGAATCACAGCACGCCAGGCCTCCCTGTCCATCACCAACTCCCGGAGTTTACTCAAACCCATGTCCATTGACTCGGTGATGCCATCCAACCATCTCATCCTCTGTCGTCCCCTTCTCCTCCTGCCCCCAATCTTTCCCAGCATCAGGGTCTTTTCCAATGAGTCAGCTCTTTGCATCAGGTGGTCAAAGTATTGGGAGTTTCAGCATCAGTCCTTCCAATGAATATTCAGGACTGACTTCCTTTAGGATGGACTGGTTGGATCTCCTTGCAGTCCAAGGGACTCTCTAGAGTCTTCTCCAACACCACAGTTCAAAAGCATCAATTCTTCGGCGCTCAGCTTTCTTTATAGTACAACTCTCACATCCATACATGACTACTGGAAAAACCATAGCTTTGACTAGACGGACCTTTGTTGACAAAGTAATGTCTCTGCTTTTTATTATGCTGTCTAAGTTGGTCATAACTTTTCTTCCAAGAAGTAAGCGTCTTTTAATTTCATGGCTGCAGTCACCATCTGTAGTGATTTTGGAGCCTCAAAAAATAGTCTTTCACTGTTTCCACTGTTTCCCCATCTATTTGCAGATTAAACTGCCATTTATTTCCCACTGCAGTCTATGGATGATGCTAACAGGAATTATGTGGAAAAAGATGTCCCATGGTCAATCACATCCTGGAAACACTGGATTCCTTTACTGTAAGCCTTTCTAGAACTATCAAATTAATGTACATGGTGATTCTCCAGGGAAGGGATCTTCTTCACACCTCAAATGTGAGGTGAGGCAATTTTTAATTTACAGGGAAGAAAAAAATCAAGGAGAAACATTTTTTTTTTTAATCGCGATAGGAATAAGCGGGCAGTTAGCAAAATACTTCTATTAGTAGGTTTAGGGTAACTTAGTAATCTGATAATCTGAAACTTCCCCATGTCATAAAATCTTCCCTAGGACTGATATGATCTTTCAAGATCCCCTGACTATTCGGCAGCATTTGTGAAGTACCCCTAAGGTTTTTTCATGACTTTTCTAAAAAAGGAATTCATTTCAATAAAACCACATTTGACAAAACTTTTTGAAAATGAGACACTGGGTGCCAAAAAGGGCTTCTGAATTTTTATTTTTGTATTTTTCAAGTCAAGACTGTATGAACTCTGAATGAACTATCTAGGATTTATGTACCAATATAAAAAGAACGAGCAAAGATTGTATAGGATATCTGATTCTTTAATCTGAACAGAAAATAAGTAAGTATACAAGTTTGCTAAACAGAAGTTGTAAAAACTGAATGTTATGTATTATGGAATCAGTACAAGTTTTACTTCAGTAGTTGGTGATTCTTAAGAGTTAATTCTGCAAAAAAACCAAAACCAGTTATGCAAAAACAAGAATATAAAAAGCCCCCTTCTGAATCCCAGTTTGATAAAACTAATTTCATATCTAGCTTATTGATAAGACTCAATTGCATTTCTCCTTGTGCAAGTAATACACACAGTCATTAATGGTGGTTTGGTGAGATAAAATTGATTTCTCTTAGGATAGAGTTCAATATAATAACCCAAATATAAAAAAGTTATTAAAGATTCACAGAGATAAACCAGTGCCTCAGGAAACATAATTCACCCACGTGCATAATTGTATAACATATTTCTTAAACATACAATCACGGTCAAAGAGAGTGATAACATTGCATACTCAGTGCTTCACTTCATGTAGTGCATTCTTATGGCTCATCTGGAGTTTAACACCATGTAACCACCATGCATCTAATGAATGGGCTTCTAATATACACAAATCCACTCAATTCATTAAAAATTCTAAAAATCTTAGAAGACTTTGAGCTTGACATGTAAGGACTTTGTGTCTTAATATCCCAATCACTGAGCAGACCAGGTGGAAACACAGTAACCCTCCCCTGTAAAGCAAGACTGCACATGTACTTTCGTTTCATCATCACAAAGAACCCCCAAAACAACTCAATACTGAAGATTGTGAGGGGCATATTTATTACTCTGGCAAAGAAAATTCAAATGGCTTTCCTGGAGTCCAGTGTACCCCACGACACATGCCAGAAATGAGGATAACTGCGGCAGCCAACGGAATCTGCCACAGCATCATAAATGCCATCATGCCAAGATGCACATTTTGACAAAACACTGTGATTTGTTTCCCGCTATCATGGGACACAAGAAAATGAAACTCAAGACTCTGGTTAGAACAGGACAAGTGATGACCCCAGTTTTAAATAGGGTTCTTCACTGAAGGAAAAGATAGAGCCATAAAAGTCAAAGTAGCTGACTTCAAATGGTTTACATCCCAGGATGAATCAGGTTATACTGATTTAAGCCCAAATTAATTTAGGCAGGTTTTTAACCACAAGAATAAGGACATTCTTAGTACATATTAATAATTAAACCAACATATACACAATTAGCAATATCCTATATAATATTAAATGTTTCAATAACTTGTTCTCGATTATTTTGTACCTAATTTGTTGCTTTGTCTTAAAAAACAAGCTCAACTTTATTTTACAGTGTACTTTGTATTTCTAATTGTATTCTGTAATTATTTCATTGAAGTTGGTACAATACAGTTCTCCAGATTCTAGGAGCCAAATTCAACGGTATCTTCTGTTATCTGTTTGAATTCATAATTGCCTCTGCCATCCATATGCAGGTAGTACTATGGGAAAGAAGGGAGAAAGAAATCAATAACTGAGAATCTTCTTTCAGTCAGGAATTTATGTAGAGGTTATCATACAAGAAAATGACTGGAAACAATCATTTTAAGCCACTAAAATTTTCAAAAGTTTATACTCAGAAATGCAAACCATTTTCCAAGGAAAGACTAAATGACGAAGTCTGCTCTTTTTAAAAAAAAGTCACAAAATACCTCTGCTTATAGCGGATATAGCACTTTCCATTATGAGAACTAAAACACCAGACTTCCTTATTTATTTTAAAGGGACAAAATCTGTAAGCATCCCACTAATTAGAATGCTTCTGTCACTCCACAACCAAGGATCTGCTCAACAGAGTTGCAGCTGCAATAGGTGCAAGCCTATCAGACAGGACAGCCTCTAAAACATTTACTTTAGCCGGTTTCCCAGATCAGTTCGGAATCTCTGACTTAAGGCTTTTTGTTCATTTGTTGACTTGGCAAAGGAGGAAAAGAGCCCATATAATTCCATCCTACAAAGATGCTTAGGATAGCAGCTACAAAGCCTTCTGTTTTATTTAGTGGTTTTCTGTTTACTAAAAAGATCTTCTTTTTCTCAGTTTTCTATATTGTTATTTTAAGCTATTTTGGACTCAACACTGCAGTTCTTTGTGTCACCCCCTCCATCACATGGTCACTGATCCAATGGTTACTTTGCTACTTGTCTACACCTCCAGGAGAAGAGGAAAGGGGAAAGCCAAGTCCTTTCATTGCCCTATGGTTGTAATGTTTATGAACTTCTGTGAAAACACAAAGGCTTGGATATATTTTAAACTACTTTGATATCCAGTTAGTTTTCTATTCAATTAACAAAAATGGTAAGATTATAATGTGCCGGTATAAAACTATCTTTAAAAGTCAACAGCTATAACACAATTTCATTAACGTTTATTAAGAACTTTCATACAAGCTATGTCTGGGCAAGGATCAGTAACTCTATTATACAAAGGAAACACTGTCAGAAACAGTGTTGCCTGAACCCAGGTATTCTGACTTCAAATTCCATGATCTTCCTTTAACCATCTGTACACTATTTTTTGGACCATAATATTCCTGAGAGCAAAGACAGTACCCTGTATTCTTCATAACACTTAGCCCAGTATTCGGCTTTTTTTAAAAAAAGGAGCTCAATCAGGTGTATTTTATGGGACAAGATAGCCTTATCATCTTCCAATTTTTCTCAAACCCTTTCTTTCACCTGAAATTTCTGTATCATTTAGGAAGGAAAGGGGGAAGGAAGGAAGGAAAGAAAGAGAGAAAAAAGAGAGGGAGGGACGAAGAGAGCGAGAGAAAGAAAGCAGGGAGAAAGAAAGGAAAAAAGAAAGGAAAGAAAGAAAAAATGAACTAAGCTGGGTTTATTCTTCGGGGTTGATCATTTTACATTAGAGGGGAAGAACTGCTATGGTGAGCACGGCACTATGACACTGCCGGAGAGCCTGAACTGCTGTGAATCTCACTGTAGTACCTTTGTAAATCAGAGTGGCCACTTAATGAAGTCTATTTTATTATTTTATTATAGTGTGTGATGATAAACCAGCTGACATTATAGTTTCCTCCTTGTGGTCCTGATGTCTACTAAAGCTGTCCCTAAACTTTTTGCCATCTGATCCTTCTTAAGACTCTCTTTCCTTTTGGTCAATAGAGAATGGTAAGAAAAGGTCGTGATTAGATTCTGTAGGTTTTAGTCAGTAACAGTGTATTATGTAACAGTGATTTATAAAACTGGAGAATCATTAACTGGTTCTCTAATACCTTTCCTATATAACTAAAAACTATCCATATTAATATATATTATAGCCCTCAAAATTGACAACTACAATAATATTTATAAAAATGCTATTTTATAGTAATGAATTAGAATCACCTTTTCCCCTTAAATTATATATCTATAATGGAACACACACCAAGAAATCTAAAGTCATAATCACCTAAATTCATATATGAAAATAAACAAACTCTCACTATACCATTCAATATAAGAAATACAAACCTCATGGTGTTTCCAAAGAGATTTTCTATGTGACACTGTGAAGAGGGTAATGCCAACCTAATACAAGGAAAATGATTTAGGTTTACATCAATAACACAGAATTACAAATTAAATTAGTCTATATACTTTAAGCTGTTAAAATGACTGGCTTCAGTAGCTATAGTTAAAAATCAACTGATACCCAATGTTTAAAGTAACACAAAGTAAAGGCCATCAACTACATAATAAAAACTAACAAGTATCAATAGAGTCTAAGAAAGAAAAAAACTAAACTAACAGTTACTAGTTTAATTAAGTGTATTATTTTGTTTTGGGCACAAAATATATATCCTAGCATATTTTCTATTTTATTGCGAAAAATATATGAAAAGAACATAGGGATGGTAAAAATAGCAAAAGGTCAAAATCAGAAAAATTAAATCAATATAATATTGCCTACAGTAAATCTGTTTTTCAAATATAGTATAATCTTTACTGGAACCCCTTATTTTGGAACATGTCTTAGAATTTAGATTTTGGAAAAGCAGCATTTACCACTCCAAGAGGGTTCTGAGGTAGAATTCTGAAATTAAACACATCAATGTTTCTGCAGCAACACATATGGACATGGACATTCAGTAAGATAAATATCAATAAAAGGGCTTAAAAATCTTCTATTAGTTCAGGCCAGCTCTAGCTACCCAGTAAGCTTGCCACGAAATAATGAAAACTCTTTTTCAGTTTTAAAAGCTTACTGGATTTTAGACTGTGAATTAGGGTTTATGGACCATTCTTCAGATTTTCAAAACATGAAGAGACGTAGCTAGTTGCTCTGATCAGTGATTCTCAACTGGGGAGAAGAGGCAGGATATTTTGCCCCAGTAGGGGACACATTTCAAGGTCTTCTGATTGTCAAAACTAACAGTGCTGGAGACATCTAATGAGTTGAGATGAGAAATGTTCCCAAACATCCCACAAAGCAGAGGACAGCCTTCCACAACTAAGAATAATCCACCACAAAATGTCAATAGTGCTGAGACTGAGCAACCCTGTTCTAGGATCACTGTTTCTCAACATGGGTCTCTCGAGGCTGAGAAACATGCTAGGGTAACCAGGAAATCTCCACCATGAGTTCCAAATCTTATTTTCATTTTGATAATTAAAAAGAATTTGGGTAAGTATGTTCTTTTTATCACTTCTATCATGAGATTTAAGTGTCCAAGTTCGTGTATACACTTCTACTGGTACCATGTGATGACTTAAACTGGTATCATTTAAAACTTTTAATGTGTAATAAGTTCGAGTGCCAAAGGAAAGGTTATCAGACAGGTCAGAAACTGCATGACAAGTATACTGTCAGTAATTAATAAAACATATTTCAATGGTGCAACACAGATGTGATTTTTGAAAGCTTATTTCAGATATTTCTCATAATTGTAAAATAATTAGATCAGATCTCAACTGAATGAAGGCCTTCTTTATTAGAGAATTACGTTAAGTCAAAATACACAAGCAAAATTCAAAACATAAGATCTGGACCTCATATTCTATTTGGATCTCACATTAAATCCAAACTAGTAGTTTAGTTTCAGCAAAATAGCATCAAATGTCTTTCTAATGCTGCTGAAACTCTGTTTTAAAATTTCTTCTGCACTTAATTTGTAAGATTGTATTGGTTTTGTAGCTGTAAATGAGTTTTAAGTTCATACCTCATTTCATGTTTATCCATTTTCAAGTGCCATTAAAGTAATACAATTTATCAACTGGGGGCCCCACAGGAATTTTTTTATTTTAAATGGAATCTATACACAGGAGAATTGCATATTTTATGGGGACTTGCAGCCTACAGCTAGATACTAGAGGAAACTTCATGGAGCTTCTAAGTCACTAATCAAATAGAGACTACATTTTTTTATGTATAAGAGAATTCCACAAACACCTCTTAATACCTTCAAATCTGAAAATCTGTATAGACAAATGCATTAAAAAAAAAAAAAAGGCTACTATACTAAAAGCAGCCTTGGTAAAATATTGACCAGGCCAGACAAAAAAAATAGATACATTAAAAGTTGCCAAATAATTAGCCAATTTTTTTAATTAAAAAATATTTTTAATTTTCTTTATAAAAAAACAAACAATATTTAGGTAAAGCTAATGGAACAAATTAAGAAAAGATCAGTTTATTAACACTGAGGATAGGGAATGAGATAAAAGGGGAAAAAATTTAAATATTTATTTTATATCTAACACATGGCTAAAAAGAATTATATACAGAACTCACTGACAATTTTCTCTTCTACTCGTATCTATTTATCAGTTTAAAATCTTTATTAAAGCAAGGTACCTTCCTTTGATAGTAATTTTGTCACTTCATAACTTGGAATCTTCTCTTTGGATAGATATTTGGTTGGACACAGTAAACTGGGAGCAGGGACTGAGAATTTATCACACTTACCTTTCGACAATGACTGTAAATGTAGTCTTCCACATCCACGCTAACTGCACTTGTACATTCATCCAAAATAGCAAACTGGGGCTTATGATAAAATAATCTTGCCATCTGAAGCATGAAAGGAAATACTCTGTATAATCAAATATCACACTACTGAATAAGATAAGTAAGCTAAAACAGATTTACTTTAAATTAAATATGCATTTATATTCTATGTAATTCTGTATGTTTACATATATTACATGTAAACAAAAAAGGAAATATATTCTAATTCAAAAAATCTACTTCTCAGAAACAAAAACAACATAAAGAAACTTGACTGCTTTCATTGTCTTCCCAAGCAAAGGGAGAAATGTAACACATGGGAAATACTGTTAAGAGTAAAGCAAAAGCTCTTGACTGATAGGAGATGAAGTTGAGTTTTAAATTAATAGTAAAAAATTCTCTAAACAAGATTAGAGGATACACATTTTAATGAAATCTTAGAATTCAGACTATAGATAACTCAGATGCAAAAACTGACTATTTTTAAGCAGTCTGTTGCTTAAGTAATGCCAACTAATATTAAGTTGCCAATTTATTCTCCTACCAATAATGTTTGAGTGCACATGTTGTATATACCCCTGTGGTCAATATTTGGCATGCTCATTTTTAAAAGTCTATGCAAATTTTATAAGTGAAAATTAACATCAAGACTGTTACAGCTTAACATTTCTTTGATTAGCAGAAATGCTGAACATGTTGCTGTTTATTTTCCATATGTATTTTATTTTCCAGGAATTATTTATCCCAACCCATTAACAGATATTCCAAATTGTCACCTGCCTCCTAACACCAATCTCGATGGTATAAAGTGGGCACTTTCTATCCTTGCCCAATTTATCTTCTCTGCAACACTGAACTCAGGTAACCATTCCCTCCTTGAGAAAGTGAGAGTGAGACCATAGAGTTTCAAGTGTCTTCAGCTGTTCCTTTTCCAGCATTTTCTCTTCTGCTGGACCATTAAATGTTGGGGTCCCTGAGGGTTAATTTCTAGGCCTCTTCTCTTTTTCCTATTTTGCTTCTCTGAGTGATCTTTTCAAGTCTCATGATTTCAAATATTATTTACATTTGTAAACTCCCCCAAATCTCTCTCCCACCAATACCTCTGTTCTAATTTCCAGGTGGATACATACAAATTCCTATTTAATCTTTCTATTTGGATATCTTACAGGACTCACAGACTTTAAACATCTAAAACTCAACAGATTTTCTAGATTTCCCCCTTAAATCCATTCATCCATTTCCTCCACCCCAGAGTGAACACTTCAGAGCAGCTGCTCAAGCTAGAAAGCTGTCAGTCCTCCTTGTTCTCCTCCTCCTCCCCCACCCCCATTTTTAGTCCAAGTCAGCCCTGTGACGTCTACTCACTTTCCCCCAGCTTACAATCATGCGCTCAGCCCAGAGCGCAATCTTCTGCCTGGATAACCACAAATAGCCTCCTGCTTCGTCCTTTGTGCCTCTTTAATTCTCCATGTAATCAGAGATGATCTTCCAGAAATGTGAGAATGTCATTCTTCTACTTAAAACCCTTCAATGACTTCCCATTTTGCTTAGAATAAAATCCAAACCCCTTACCATGACCTACAAGATGCTGCACAACCTTACTCCTACTCACTCGCTAACCTCAACATTCCAGCACCATCATCTCCTCTCAACTACCAGGAGACAAGGGGTCACAGGCCTCAGAGGCTTAGGACATGTCACTTTCCTCGTGTCTCAAACGCCTCACTCTGCTCCTTGTATCATTCAAACTTCTGCTTAACGTCACCTCAGACAAACCTACCTGATCCCTCCCAACCCAAGTGGGTCCCTTTTGTAACATCTCTGTAGTTCTTCACACAGCATAAACTACATTGTCTGTTTCTTCATCTATCCCTTAGGCTGTAATACTCACAAAAGCCAAGATTCCATTTTAATGAGTACTGCATACCTAACACCTGTACAGTATAGCAGATATTCAAATATTTGATCAATGAATAACCAAAACAGCTTTCTTGGGAGTTTACACTTTATTTATAAAGGGTGAGGAAGGGGAAACAGCAACGACAGGCTATCAAGAAGTTCAGCTGTGCAGAGAATGAAAGGTATAGACAAGCTGGGACCTTTGGTTAAGGGAGAGTTTGGTTTTTAGATCACAGAGACCTGAAAATATCTTTCTGAAAGACGAACTAGAAGAAATTAAATATAGGTGGGTGTGTGTGTCAGGGTGGTACAGAAGCGAAGGAAAGGGATGTGATAAAAGTTGGAGGAGGGAGGGTCCAAAAACACAGATGGAAACAGTTAGCCTATTTAGGCTTTCTCAAGAGGAAGGATGACATATCCTCCACAAATAGAGGAAACAGGAGTTCAGGACAGCCCAGTGCAAAGTTATTAAGAGGAGTGGTTATTTGAAAGCATTCAAATGCCCCTCCTCTGCGTTCCCAAGGAATGCTTTGCATTCCTTTGTCTCCACACTTATCACACTATATGGAAATTTTCTCATCATGTGTCTTTCTCACTCCTACTATGTGGTTAGCCACTTGGTATTGCAATACAAGGGGATTTTGAAGAATATGAACACTGCAGTCATACCGCTGTCTGAGTTGACAAGCCACCCACCACCTCCTACCAGCTTTAACACTTACTAGGTATCTCTGCCTGGCAAGCCACTTAACTGTTCTACAGTTCTACTCCCTGGGTGGAATGGGACTCTCACAGCTCTCATCTTACACAACTGCTGAGAGAACGAAGTGAGATAACCTGTGTAAAGTGCCTGGCATATTGCCTATCACCTATTAAGTACTCAATAAAAATTAGCTGTTTCTTAACTGAAATAACAGCTTCTCTTTTTTCTTTAAGGAACAGGAGGTGAGTTATTCTGCTGAGAGCGGTGGGGTAATAATGGCGTAGAAAGCCTGAAACTGGTAGTTCTCATATGATTATCATGAAAAATGAGACAGAGGGACAAAAATCAGTAAAATGACTGCCAAGACATGCTGTGAGTGCCTGAAAGACTGGAAACCATGGAAGTGCAGTGGCAGCAATCCATCTCTTTCTCTGACTTTTTTTCCAGCAGTGCTCAGAAGCCCATGCACAAAAATGCCAAGGCAAACAACTGCTCTTGGGTCAGTATTTAAATAATATGAGAAAACAAAAAGTGAAAAAGGAAGTTAAGGGGAAGAGATTATTTGCTCATTTAAGAAATATCTCCTGTGTACCTCCCACATGCCAGGGCCTGGATTATTAAGTCTGCTGGATGGGAAAGAAGGCAGAGTCAAAAGGGAACTGATCAACTGTAGAAAAGGAACGGGTCAATATTAGAGAGATCTTAGTGAGTTTGAGGAACGGGAACAATTGCCAATAATGTAAAAGAAATAATTACAAAATGGACTTTAAAAAACACTAAAAATCTCATGACAGTGGAATCTCTGGTAAGAGGCTTTGGGCCTTTCTTCATACTTTTATAAACATTTCAACTTTTCTATCATATATACTTTTTCATTTAAAAAAAAAAATCACTAAAGAGGAAGAGGAAGGAATAAAAAATCACTAAAGAGGAAGTGGAGCAGAGGGACTTCCCTGGAGGTCCAGTGGCTAAAACTTCGCGTTCCCAATGCAGGGGGCTCAGGTTCTATCCCTGAGCAGGGAACTAGACCTCACACACCACAACTAAGAGTTGGCATGCTGCAACTTAAAAAAAGATCCTTCATGCTGTGACTAAAGATTCTGTTTGCTGCAATTCAGACCTCATGCAGCCAAATAAATATTAAAGAAAGAATAGTAGAGCAGAAAAGATGACTATGAGTCAAAGAAATAAAGCAGAGCAATCTATAATATTATTTGGAGCAACCCTGGCTGACGGTGCTGGACCCAAATGAGTGTAATGAAGGAAAGAGACATGTCACCCAATCACTCAATGCCCAATCACTTCAAATTCTCACTCCACCAGCCCAATATCTACCTTGAGAATGGCTGATATCTCTCGTCTGTTTATCAGTCTAGATTAATTTCACCTTATAGCACTAGCCAAATGAATCACAATATTAGGTTGATATTAAGTTCATAAAGAATGGGTATAAATTGGGGGAAAACAACATGCAAAACGTTCCTCACAGTGGGAGGTAACCATAAGGCTGAACATAATCTGAAGATAAAGAGTAAGCAATTTAGCAATACATCAACTCTTTTGCTAGGTTTCCTTGGCTATGGCTTTCCCTAATTTACACAAAATTTACACTCCCTCCCTCCAAAATTCCTCTGGATCTGCTCAAATTATGGTACTAGTTAGAAAATGACTCTTTAAGAGTTATCCCTCTTTACAGAGGACTCCACGAATCACTCTTAATATGCTGTGTTTTATAGCCATGTTGGATTGGGATAAGTTTAGTCAATTATAGAAAAATTAAAACAATTCCTTTCAAATGTTTCTTTATATTTTTATATTAGGAAATTTTGAAATTCTAAGTAACTTTTAGTAAATATTGAGCTCTAAAACAAGAATACATATAATGATAGAGGGAAAGGGCAAGAACAGAACAAAGAATAAAAAGAAAATAAAATTAACATCTCTAACACCTTCAGCTACTTTAGAGAGAACAGCCTGAGTAAGACAGAGAGATGTCTACAGGGAAAAAAGTACTACAAGGGATCACCAACCCAACCAGGACCAATGTGCTACAAAGTTCCCCTAACTTTTAGAAAAATAGATTAATGGTATATAATTGGATCTGCATCTTTTCCTTTCAAGGGAATATTTATGAATTTTTCAGAATTCTAAATTTACATGCAAATTATTCTTTTATCATATAAACAACTATACCATGATCATTGATAAATAAAAAGATTAATAAAACAGTATGCCGTGATTATCACAATGCTGGATTCTAAGAGTGGACTTCATGCAGGCAGCTGCATTGCTGGGCAGGGTCTTCAGAGCACACTTACCGCCATTCTCTGCTTCTCTCCACCACTCAGCACATCCATCCAGTCCTGAACACTGTCCCAGCCACCTTCACGTTCAAGGATATGACTCAACTGGACATTATCTAAGTATTCCTTCAGCACCTTTCAGCAAAATGATTAAAGATGAAATTGTGTTTAATATAAACCAACATTCTCTGTCTTGCTTTATTTTTGACACTAGAATTGCTATAATTCTATTGCCAATATCACTAAAAAAGGTACACTTCACCAAAGAATGTGAAAGGTAAACCAAAAACTCTTTTACTTCCTATTTATAGTAATTTTGACAAAATAAATCTAGCCGCTTAAAAAGAATAACATTATTGTGCACAATTAAGGGATGAGGACAATGGGGAAACAAATAATAGTGTAAAGATGACATTAAACATTCAACAGTCATATTTAAGCAAAATGGTTAACATCTTACCACCACCTGTAAAGTTATAACTACTGATAAAGTTTTAGAAGTCTTTACAAAAGGTTAGGATTAACCACTTGGCATCTAAAATACTTAATTGATTAAGATAAAGACTCTGAAATGGAGTGTTTTCAGTAAATCTAGTATTAAACATTTCCTTACGAGGTCAGAAATCCCCTTCTTTTTCTGATCTTCCTTTCCATCTGGATATATCACTTGGTCTCGAAGTGTTCCAAGGGTCATATAAGGTCTCTGATAGTAAAAGAGCAAAAATCATTAGAGTAAACTTATTAAAAACAAAAGATCTTTAAACCAAAGATTATAAAATAGCTCAAGAAAGGTCTTACCTGAGGAACATAAAATAACTTTCCTCTCTCAGGTTTAGTTAGACGTCCTCCAAAAAGAGGCCATAACTATAAAAGCAGAGGAAGAGAAACAGTTGTAAATTTCACAATGTGGTATAGATGATAAGGCAAAGTAAGACTGCAAAATCCTAAGGCCAGTTTTTACTTACTTCACCAAGAACACGGAAAAGTGAACTCTTTCCACAGCCATTTGGACCACAGATTAGAACGTTGGCCCCAGATCGAACCTGAAAAAAAATCAGTCTATGAGTTAATTAAATAGAATATACACACAATGAACATTTCCTTAGAGTCAAAGAAGCTAATGATTAGCTTTCCATTTTGTCTACAGATGTGATATTAGATAGAGGCAGTGTACGGTATGAAGAGGCCTTTTATTTTTGTTTACTTTCCATTTTTACTCAGTCACTTCTTTCCCTCACTTAAAAACCACTATTGATTGACATCAACTTAAATCTCAATCAGAATACAAAGAGTTAAAGCTTGAATTCTTGAAAACAGCAATTATGTATATACAATCTTTTTTTTTAAATGCAGTTGTACTATATATACTATTCTATAACTTGTTATTATTTAACAATATATCACAGATATATTCATATTCTCCCCATTCTTTTCTTAATGCCTGCACCGTATTCCATAGTAAGGATGTATCAAAATTTATCTAAATACTCTCCTTTTGTTAAGTATTTAGGTCATCTGCATTTTGTTTGCTTTTTAATAATACTGCAATGAAACTCCAAGTCAGCAAGCAAACCAATACACTAGTGAGAAATATTTCTATAGATCAGATTCTTAGAAATTATAAGTTGCATCAAAGTATATGTATATTATAAATATTTATATGTTCACCAAATTGTTCTGCAAGGATGTAAAGATGGAAGTTAAATGCAAAAATGTCAAGAAGGATTGAGTTCTAAGTTTATATAGTGTGGGTTAATCAAACCTGTGATGAATCAAAAACCCTGGGTCATAATTCCAGCCTTCATAGCAATGGAGCACAGCAGGAAAGACATCAGAGATGAGTTACCCTAGCTGCGGAACCTGCCTTTTTAAAAACTGTTGAGTCTTAGGTTCCTATTACTTAACTCAATGAATATGTATTGAATACTAAGTGTCAGGCTCTGTTCTAAGGCAATACAGACATATTAGTGAGTAAAAGAGACCAAAAAACCCCAGACAACAACAACAACACACAAAAATCCTTACCCTTACCAGTATACATTCTAGTGAGAGACACATACAATGAGGAACATGCATAATAAATAAGTAAATTAAACAGTATGTCAGAAAATAAGTACAATGGGGGAAAAATAGATCAAGGTGAAAAACAACAACAAAAAAGCCTAGGGGTTTGGCGGGGGTGCTGCATTTTTAAGCTCGTCAGGCCAGGCCTCACTGAAAATGACAACTGGGCAAAACTTTTGAAAGAAGTAAACTAGAAGTTTATCTGGAGGAAGATTATTATAGCTTCTACCCACAAAAAGGAGCTACAAAAGCTGAGCAGGAACGCACCTGTCCTGTTCAAAAATAAGAGAGGAGTCTACTAAAGAACAAAGAGCAGGAGAGAAGAACGGGAGAACTGAGCTCAGAGAGGTAGATGTGGTGGCAGGGTAGTAACGGGCAAATCCTACAGGGCACTGTAAGCCACTGAAGGAGCGTCTCCTGATGTAACATACCGAGCCACTTGCATTATTCACACCAGTCAAAAGGTGGAAGCAACAAAATGTGGCCTACACATACAATGGAATATTACCATTCAGCCTTAAAAGGAACGAAATTCTGTATGTGTCACAACATGAATGCACCTGAAGACATGATGTTACGCAAAAAATGCCAGACACAAAAGGACAAATATGATGACTCCACTTACATGAGGTACTCAGAACAGGCAAATTCACTGAGACAGAAAGTAGAACAGAGGTTATGCAGGATGGAGGGGTGGGGAGGAAAAGGAGCTATTGTATAATGGGTGGTTTGTTTGCTGTGAGGACAGTGGTGGCGGTTGCACCATACACTAATGTACTTAATGCCATTAAATTGTATGTTTAAAAATAGTTAAAACAGCAAATTTTATGATGTGTGTATTTTACCACAGTTGATCTCTAACAAAATGCCACAACTTATGCACATCAATATCAGAAGGAGCTATTGTGAATGACTTTTCCAAATGATGAGCAGTCTCTTTTTCCGAGAAACTAGAGAGTCATTTTGATGGGACTTCTAAATACATACTTCTTGCTTCTATACAACTGAAAATAGTGAATATTCCTAATAATACATTATCTATAATAACTGTACTTTATTATAATAGTGATGCCTTGAGGAGTGCCTGAAGTTCAGAGAACTGTTAATTAAATGGATCCCTATCACCCTGATTTATCCAGATAATATTAGCCATAAGTATTTTTTTCCTGCACCTAACTACTTATTGTGGTTTTCACTGCCATTCTATAGCTCTCCACATTATTTGGTGCAACATGCCAGGAAACCTAGAAACCAAGTTTGTAATGATGTGTATAAATAATCACTACAGTTACTGAAATCCTTAGATATTCTTATGGACAAAAGTCTTGAGACTCAGCATTAACTTTTCTTTACTCCATGGTAATAATAATGTTGGACAAAACTTCTAATTATGCCATCAGCCATGGACCAGTGATAATTTTTCCAAATTAAAGAGTTATAAGACCGTATTTCATGCCCCCCTCCCGCCCCCCGGATTGAATTACGACTAAAAGCCAAGGATAACTTTCACTGAAAACCAAGTTCTTAAGAACACTTTATTACTGAGGATCCTGGATTGCTTTACTAGGGCAATGAATGCTTTGAACCACATATTTTTCTTTATTCTCAAGCAAGCCAAATGGGGAGAAAACAATCAGATGCTACAAAAAAAAAAAAAAGGATGTTTGTTCAATTAAAAAAAAAACTACATTAAACAAATGTTGGAAAAGACTAAATGAGAAAAAGGCAAATCTAACTTAAAATATCTTAAGTCAGAAACAGACAGAAGAAAAGCTTTTAACAGTGGACCAAAAGGACATATGTCAAAGAAAGCTCCCAGTGGAGAAGAACACAATACAAGAATCATAGAACAGGTAAGAGCAGTATAGAATATGATCACAGAGTAAAAAAACTTAAACAAGCAGGATTGTAAAATAAGACTTTCCAAAATGAAACCAAAATAAAAGCAAAAAAGTAAAGGCCTCTCTGCGGCTAAAAAAAGTGAAGTTACCAGGACTGGCCAGGAGTATACTAAAATTCAAATATAAAGGTTTTAAAGGGAAGGGCTTTGGACTAGAATGAAAAGGACAGCAGTAGTGTGGTCACCTTATGACAAAGTGAGCAGACCAAAATCATGATCTATTTTCTCCACGTATCTGTACACACAGATCCCAAATCTCTCCTCACTAGGCACAAGACAGGTGTGCATCGGTACTGCTGGTGTATTCTCTGTCTGCATACAGACAGAAGAAAGGGAAAGCAGGAGAAAGGGCCCAGAGGATTCTTCAGTGGAGAAAATCTCACGGCTCTGTCTATGCGTGGGTGATAACAATAAAGGGCTACTGGAAACCTATCACAGATGGGGTTTTGAGCTGTTTATTCCTGATACCAAGCCCTGTAGGTGGCCACCTACTCTGCCAATGGAGCCTATTTGACTATAGCACCCAGAGCTAAGTGAAAAACACACTTCTGTAACACTTGTGCCATTAAACATTTATCAACCATATTCACATTTTCGGTACTTCCCTTTGTGTTTCCTGGCTTTAAAACAAACATGACAATATATAATATTCAATACTGAGTAAGTCCCAAGTACTTTACAAAACTAACAGTTCACAGTTTTATAGTTTTTTAAAAAGAAAGTGGAGATGTACATAATAAATATACATGCTAAAAGTAGAAAAACTTACCTATAACACTTTGAAAACAAATCCAATAACTCTCCTTCTATTTTGTAAACTATCAGACAACATTCTTCAATGCAAGCAGTTGGAAATAATCTCCATATACAACACAAATTACATAGGGCCATGAACACAGGGCATGTGGAGAAGAATTCTAGAGTTGTGCTTTCCAATACAACAGCCACTAGTCACATGTGGCTATTTAAGCGCAAATTTATTAAAACTAAGTAAAATTTAAAATTCAGTTCCTCAACTGTACTAGCCACATTTCAAAAGAGTACAATAGCCACATGTGGCCACTATACTGGACAATGCAGATACAGACCATTTCCATATCACAGAAAGTTCTATTGGACACTGTTAATTCTAGAGTAATGGTATCTGGAACCAGAGAGATAGCCCATGCGATAGACATTGATTACTATCTTCAAGATCTTCAGATGTGAACTATTCATAAAGTCACAACAGATACAAACAAAATAATAACGCCTAGGTCTGTGAGAATCTTATCAAATCATACAATAATTCTCACGTTTTGCTTTTGCTTTTTAATTTGGTCTGCTCTTTTGGTTAACAGACTCCTCTGAATCAGCATCACAGTTCACTTGGCTCGAGCTGTTTTGTGCCTTGGGTGAGAGGCAATCTGCAGTGCTATTGTGCTGGCCTTGTATGGTTTTCATCAGTAATATAAAAAACTGTATTTTGTTTTTATAGGTACGGATCCTCCTGTACCATCAAAACAATACCAACTCATAAATTATTTTGATTTAAAGAGACTGTTAGATATGCAAGTTTAAATATTCATCTTACAGTGAAGATTCCAATTATCTATATCTTCTATGGCTTTCTTGAAAGGGACTTTATTCACAAAAAGATTTTTTGATAGCAGTATTTGAAACTTTAAAGTCCTGTCAAATAAAAATAGGTTTCTGTTTCAAAGACTCATTCTTTTTCTTCCAATTATACTAAGATCTCACTGACATGCAGTACTGTTTAAGGTATACAGCACAGTGATTTGACTCCCATTCACCATGAAATGATTATCATAGTAAGTTCAGTGAACATCTCATACAGATGCCAGATTAAAGAAACAGAAAAAAAAAAAGTGTGTGTGTGATGAGAACTCTTAGGGTTTCCTCTCTTAACAACTTTCACATATAACATCCAGTATTGTTTTTATATTTTGTTTCTATATTTATCATATTGTGTATTACACCCCTAGTACTGATTTATCCGGTAACTGGAAATTTATAATACCTTGTAACTACCTTACTCCAAGGCAGTCCTCCTTTACAAAGGCTTACTTTTTAAAGCAATTTTGTGGATTCAGAGACTAAGTGAAACCTTAAAATTCTTTTAAACATTCAGACAACAGTTTCTCAGTTCACATTTTGAAGATGACTTAAGCTTTTATATAGCCATGTAAAAACTTACTTCAAAATTAAGGTCTCGAATCAAGATATCTCCATTTGGCGTTGCTAAAGGAACATGATCAAATCTATAGAGGAAATTAATAAAAAGAGAATAGTTTGACATTAAACACTAAGTAGATGTAGCTGAAAGAGAAAGGCTAATGTGTAGTTTAACAAACGCTCATGGTGCTAAAGAACGTACTTTATAATGTTATCTGTATTGATGATTTCTCCAATTCCAGGTATCAAGGGAAGGTCTTGTGCTCCTTCAACACATTAAAAGGAAAAATAAGTATTAAAGCATCAAGTCATGTCAGCAAAAACTTATGTGACTGAGTGCATTCATATTTACCCTTTTCCTGTTGTGAGACCATAGTGCGTTCATATTTGCCCTGATTTAAATCCTTTAGTACTTGCATTAATTCTGTAATCCGAGCAGTAAAGCTGGAATTAAAAAAGAAAAAGAAACAAAGAAAGCCATAATCAAAACTCCAAAGGCTATCTTATCTTTTATTTTTATTATTTATTTGAATATAATTGACATGTAACATTAAGTTCTTTTATTTTATACAAACCTGACTTAAGTTTCTAAACTTATTACGTAGTTTCAATGAAATCACTTAAAAGAGGTCTCACCAACATTAGTGATATTATACAAGTATTAGTGAAACTATACACATTTTACTATTATGCTTTAGTAGGAGAGCAGGAAGATGGGACTAAGAGAAGAGGTCTCAGGACCCCACCTCAACAGATACTGACTTTATTAATAGGCAAGTCAAGAAGGTTGTCTGCCACTAGAACTTGAAGGAATTTTCCAGTAAATACTAAAAAAGGACACACTAGTGCATTTCTTAGGCCAATGAAGCACGAACCCTGAGTTCCTGCTGGGGTGAGCTACACAGCCTTGGATAAAGCTGGCCTTTATCTCTATGAGGACATCATTTAAGTATGCCACATGCACACTACTTTCTTGCAAACAGGGAAGAATTGGGGAGATCCTGCTCCTTCTTCCCCTGAAGAGGGGAAAAGATGAAGTGTTCTTAATATTAGAGAGAAATCATTGTGGTGATAAGAGAGAAATCAAACCTACTGACAAGAAGTTGAAAAGTATGAATGGCATGATGGTCGAGGAGAAAGCACTCTAACCAGAGAAGCAAACAGTATTGTTCTGTGAATAACAAGCAGAAACTTCCTAAAGGAATGGAAGCATCCTCTATGCCAGGAAACGTAAAGGCATGAGGAAGTTATTAACAAGCTGGAAGAAAGTCAGCATTCTCAAGAAAGACTCCTCACAGTAGTTACAGCTTCTTCTATCTTGTCATGAAGACCTTAACTGCTAAAGGAGTAAAGAAGATCACAGGCCTGGAAAAGATCCAAAGTCATCCAACTTCTTTAGATAACCTGAAACTTAAGGTGCTTTTTTACATTATGTGTTGTTTTAAATACCATACCAAGCCCTTTATACTAGACTTTGAAATTTTGAAATATTTAATTCCATTTGATGGTCTAAGAATAATTTTACCAGACACCCTGACTGGTTTACAACTGAACTTAGAGCTACCACAAGGTAACTTTTCTTTTTTTTTTCCCATTAAAATAAACTTTATCCTTGTTTATGCATTACCAGTATCAAAGACCTAAGGGGAAGAAAAGTATGATAGGGGACAAAAAAGTCCAAATGAAAAAATTTTATTCACTAATTTAATTTTCTGTAAATTAAGGAAAGACTGCCATGATCTAACATTTCCCATCTTATTGAATACCAGTATTCACAGAGAAGACAGCTCCAGAACAACTAACCTAGTTTAAGGCTCAAAACAGCTATCTTAAGGAAACATGAAAAGTACATTATCAAAAAAAAAATCTTCCTAATTTTCTATCAAAACTCGCTTCCAAGAGTAGGAAATATGGGGATTCAGTTGCTCCTTATCTCAACCTCAATTGGTCACAATCATTAAGGATAACATTAAAAAAAGAAGATTCTCTGCAGTTGCTCCATATTAACAAATCTTAACTTACCCAGCCAATCGAGTCATTTCACGGCCAGCCAAAACTATTCGACCCAGAGCTTGAGACATTCGCAAAAGCATTCTTCCACTTTGGTAGTAATCCTGAAATAGAAAGAAATATTAGTTTTCACTTGTATTTCAAAGATTAAAACTAGCTTTTTAAAATTTTTATATTTAAGATTTCAATTGAGTCTGACTACCATTACCACTTTACCTCCAGAAGTTCCGAATGTGAGCTCTTAAGATGTCGAGGATGAGACAAATCTAAGAAAGGACGACTGACGACTAGGTAACCAACCACAGTGGCAAGATCTGAAACCAAACAGTTAAGATTGAAAAATATCAATGACACCTCACTTTCCCCACAAATTCCATTCTACTATCTCTTTTAAAGCATACTTACATTTGGCAATTATACTGTCAATGAAGCCCATAGAAAACCGAAACAAAATGAAATTATGTAGGTGCTCCACCTGACAGAAAGCAAAAACAAAAAATATATATATACTTCCAATGTATTAAGAAAAATCAATCTACCATGAGGACAAAAGAAACTGTAATTTATGTATTCAACAAATATTTACTGAGTACCTATAATTTCCAATTACATTATACATCACATTTGATTGAGCACAACGCTGATCACAGAATAGGTGTGAAACAAAGCCTTCATGAATCCATTTTTTGCAAACAGAGTGGAAAACATAAAGAATATGTGTGGTGTCCCTTGCATGAAATAGTACAGTGATACTGTATTCATAATATTGTCAGATACATATATGCAAAAATGATCAATAAAACAAACAAAAAACAGAAAGATAATTTAGGTGAAACACTAGCTGTCTGGAAATAGCATTCAATGCTGTGCTTTAGCCGGAAACACCTGGTCTTTCTCTAAGACTTGTACTATACTCAATTTGAACCAAGTGCTAATGTAACACCACATAGCTTGAGTCTGTAATTTTAATCTCAGCATGCATTATCCCCAAACTGCAAGTCTAAAAATGTATTTTATTCTGCATTTTTAATGTTCTTGACTTTTCATCTATCAGATTAGTCAGGCCCTGCATGATCTGCCACCGGGCTCTATCTCCAACCTCATCTACTTCTTTGCTCTTCCTCACTGAGTTCCAGAAATACTGGTTCCTCAAACAAGCTTCTGCCTCAAGCCTTTCCTCACCTTGTTTCCTAGATTTACTGATTTTCTAGATATAAATGCCACCTTCAAGAGAGACCTTCTTGCTATCCTAAACTGCTTGGCAATAGCCCCCATCACTACCACTTTATCCCATTTTATTTTTGGTCACAGAATTCACTATGACCTTGAAAGCATATAAAATATTTGTTTACTTGTTTATTGTCTCCCCCACTAAAATGTCGGTTTCCTGAGTACAAGGTAGCTTGCTCTTAATATCTTCCACAAAAGAACAATGGTTGGAACATTTATTCAGTGAATGCCAGATGTTACATACTGAGTTCAATGATGAAGATGCAACAATGAATAAACAGACAAGGTTCCTGAGCTCATGGAATTTACATTCTAATGAAGAAGACAACCAGTAAACAAACAAGATAATTACAAATAGTAATGTATGCTTTTAAGAAAAACAGATCATTAAAATGGGAAGTAACTGGTGAAGGTCATTTTAGATGGATTAATCAAAGAAGACATGGCCTCAAAAGGTGTTAACTTTGGGGCACTCTAATGCATAAGCATGGGCAAGCCATGTGAAGAGTGAGCTAATTAACAGCAGTCCCTTAGACAATTACCTTAAATGCATTTTACCAGTGAATGCTATCAAATTTCAGTCATGTTAAATATAAAAAAGACAAAAATTCAATTTCTTTAACATTAATTTAAATAATTTAAAATAACAACTTCTTTAACCTTTAAAAATCACCTCAAATAGGTATTTGATTTCAAAACTTTCCACTAAAATGTAAGCTCCTTAAAGGCAAGATTTGGTCCATCACACACCACTGTCACCTGGACAAGCAAGACATCTTTAGATGGTGCTCCGTATCTTCTGAATGAATAATCAACAAAATTAACTAAATTAAAATCTTCCACATGGCAAGTAGATAAAAACCGAAGCATAGTTTGCATACAGTTTGCATAAGAAACAATGTTTATATTCTAGGTAAAGGGTCAGCAAACGATGAGCCACAGTTCAGATCCAGCCTGCTACTTACTTTAGTAAATAAAGTTTTATTAGAACATACCACATCCATTCGTTTACATATGGCTACTTTGAAGGACAGAGTTGAAGAGTTGAAAGAGAGACCATAGGGCCTGAAAAGCCTGAACCATACATGGTACTTATCTTGCCCACTACAGAAAATGCTTGCTGAACTGTGCTCACAGTATTCCCAGAAATATTACAGGAACAAATTCTTTCTGTAATTATCACTAAATTTATCATTAAATAAGACTCCTAAGTAACCACTTCAAAAATACACTGACAATTATTTTAATAAATCTACCCATTTTTATAACTGGGCAGCTTAACATATTGGTTTGACAGTTTTTAGGAAAACACAGCATAAAAATTCTTTATAGCTATTTAAAAATAAATGTTTTAAAGATTAAAGGTATATATGTATCATGGCATAGGTCAAAAATTTTTTTCCATACATACATGAGCCTCCAACATGTTATCTTACCAGTTTTTGGAAGACTGAGTGGATTGTCTGCTTTTCTCTTTTATTTCCATTGTAAAAGGCAACTTCTTCACTATTAAGGAAAATAATTTAGCAATTAATTTTAATGTCACTTAAGCCTAGAAAATAATTTAAAATACCATATTTATTGACTAACTATTTGTATATAAATGGACACTTTAATGAGTACTTCTCAAGCCATGATCTCTACATAGCTCAACTGTTCAGAGCACTGGAATATACACCTGACCGCATCACAGACTGCACTACTGACATGAGTTGCATATCCCACATGCAGCCTGGCTGGAAAAGATGTGCTGAGCTAGTTCTGAGAAAAGTGAATAAAGAAACAAGAAGGAAGATGCCATGACATATAGGAAGGCAGGACTGGGACCACCATCTTAGACTACAAATTGAGTGAAGATCCAGCCAGAAAGGAAAGGAGACAACAAGAGTTCCTAACAAGAGTTAGGAAAAAAACAGGTAGTGATGTATGACATATAGCCTTTAAAGGACAGAAAAACAAATTAATTCCTGCCCGCCTGACAGTTGTCAGCTCCCAGGAGGCCTAGCTGCACAGTTGTTCTTATTCTTAGAACCCCACCATATCCTCACAACAATTCTTCTTTCCTTGAGCCGATCTGAATGGGTACACAGGGGCCACAAGAATCTTAACTAAGGAAAAAAGGGCATTTTATGAGTGAAGAAAGGTTCAGTATAGTTAATTTGCAGAAGTCATGCAGCTGGCAAAACAGCTGAGATTATAACTTGTATCTGACCCTAACATCTAGTTTTCTACTCTACCCAGAATGATGCAAACTGTCCTAGCTAGCAAAGTACCTCTTACAGCAGAGGAAATGAAAGATTTACATACGAGTCTAGAAGGCAGAGTTAAAACACACAATACTTCTTAAAAGTCTCTTCCTCCACCTCAAAAATTTATGTGAACTTTATATTCTAGTCTAAAATGTACCTGTATTTTTTTTCCATCATAAAAACAAGGTAGCCCTTACCTCATCACCTTTAAGTAAATTAACTTTCCATATAGTTGCATCATGTTTGACCAGCCTTTCGCAGTTTCCTTTATGCAATAATAGAGAGCCCCAGGGTATCAGAATCCTAGTTTAACACAATTCTGTACCAAAAATTTCTTAATGCCTTCTGCCTCCTCCGCACATTTAAGTTCCTGGAGAAAGCTAAGGTGAGAACTCTACTTCTCCTGAACATTTTGCCCTAAACTTAAAACCTGAAAGTTCAGAAGTTTCAAAATACCAACAACTGCCTATTCAGCATCTTTTCTCTTCCGTATCCTTCCTCCTAAGAGAACCCCAATTTTCTTAAAGTTCTGTATCCTTTTCTAGGCACCCAAATGGTTGAGGAATAGCCTCAAGCCCCCATCCAAAGGGGAAAGAGTTCCATCTGATCTAAGCCAGTGACTTTGCTGTAACTGCTTTAGTGATAATTCTGGCCAATGAGATGTGAAAAGAAAGTCTGTTGTGGGGGATTCCCACTCTTAAAGAGACAGCAAAAGTAGCCTGTTTTTGTTTCTGGACTTTTAGCAGGGGACGAGGGCTGGTGGATCTAGATCTAGAACTGCTTTTGCCATCTTGTGATCAGAAAAAGAATTAGCCAGAGGAAAAGGGGAACATATAGAGGAGGACAGAGTCAGAAGAAGAGCCAGACACCCTGATCATGCTGTGGCTGGAGCTGGTCCATCTTAAGAATTTCCATGTGAAGTAGTAAATTTTCTTATTGTTGGAGCCACCCCAGTCAGGGTTTCTTGCATTGGAAAACATCCTAGCTAATACTTCTTTCATTCATTTGGCAAATCACCTCTGTACACAACCTTCTATTCTTCTGCCTCCCTACAACACAAAAAGCCTATTTAAAACCAGTATGTACTGTTTTATCAATTGAAGGAAATAAAGGAAGAGGGAACTTTTAAAAGACCATTTCCTAAATAATTTTGTAATGCCAACAGGGTAGTAAATAAATATTAGGACCCTCAAAATGACTTAAGGTTGACACGTCATCAATACATGAGAAAATTTATTGAGTACCTGCTACACATTAAAAACAGTGCTGGAAGTTTTATGTATATATCATATTTAATCCTCATGACAACCCTGTATTAGATAGTATAAATAAGAAAAGTGAAACTATAAACAACTTTCCAAAAGTCATATATTATATAATTGATAGGTGGAGAAGGTAGATTTGGCAACTAGGCAGGCTGGCTCTAAAGCCCAATACTTCTCCCTACTTTGGATTTTTAAACTATCTGGAAAACAGACAGAGACACAGGCAATGAGACTGCATTAATTTTGAGTGCTCCAAACATACAGTCAAACAAAAAATACTTGTGAATAAACTGAGATAAAATTTTCTTTGAAGAAGTAAGTAAATTTGAATTTAAATTTCTGACTTTGCTTTATGTGAAATTAACAGAAAATCAGCCAACAGAAGACATGAAGAGGTCAATCAGGGATACTAAATAGTTAATAGTTAATAAGAAAAAGGGTTAGAAATGTAGTTATTAAGATAACTACTTAATAAACCAATATCGTTCATAATGTGTATTTTAAAGAAGTAAATACACAGAGATGTAATTTCAGAAACAGTGTTACTAGATTTTTGAAGTTATTTTACATGACTTCAATATCTACATAAAGGAATTTTTAGTACAGTTAAATACATTTAATACATTTGTCCTTACCTGTTTGTGATGAGCCGAGAATTAACGTATCTATACTCTCCTTCAAGTTTTTGCTCAATTATTGTCATCTTACCAATGGGTCTTCTAATTCGAGTTAGGAATAGCCCAGAAACAAGCAAGTAGGCCATCATGCTTGCTGGGCCCTGATATTATTAGAAGAGAAAGATATACAAAGATTGAGGATATAATAAATTCACTGAATGCAACATGCCCAATATATAATAAACTCCAGTTACTTTCAAAGAAATCACTCCTTTGACTTTTTCCCTTGTTTCTTTTCTAAGAAGAAATTAGCCTCCAACTAATAAAAATAAATGAAAAAAAAAAGAAGAAGATACCCACTGGGCCTCTTTGTTTTTACTACTCATTTACTTCTCCTCCCACCATGCGTCTCTCCCCCAGCTCTCCCAAATTTGCTCATTTAAAAACTCCTAATTGCAGTCCTCACTCTTTCTACAGCATCTAAAAACTCTTCTGACGAACTCTTCTTGATATTCTCGATTCCACAATAACTTGCAGAACTCTTTTTCACCTTCTCACTGACCGTTAGTATTGACTGAGGTTTCCTTTTCTTGCTCCCTTTGCCTCCCAAATTTATCTCTCAAATCCCATCACTCCTAAGCATCCAAGATACTGATTCCAATTTACTGTATGTCTTCTCTGTAGAACCTCAAGCTCAATTCCCTCAAATCAGCTCAATTTGTCTTTCCCTCCTCTGGCTTCTTGCTTCTAGCTGCCATACTTCCTAATGTGGTAAAGTACCTCCATATGCATCGACCCTTCCAAGAGAAGCTTCAAGCTTGCCTTTTCAAACTCTTCATTCCCATACATATCCTTATGTTCTGCCATACTGAAAAAATTGCTTCCTGAACACGCTACTCAATGAAGTTCTTGTTCTGTCTAGCAAGCCTGACATATCTAAAAAAGACCGACTCATCCTCAAAGCAGCACCAATATCACCTCCAATTCTTCTGGACACTAAAGACATTATTCACACTTCCACTACTGGGCTTATCACTCTCCATTACAACTGTTTAACGATCTATCCTTTCACCAGATCGTAACTCCACTTCAGTAGGAACTGTGTCTTACTCATCTTTTTATTCAGACAGTGTATATGGAATATAGTGTGTATTATAATGGAATATGATGTGTATTATTTTTAAATTCAATGTGACTGATTCAATGTATTTCAATAATTACTAGAAGTACAGACAAAAGAGATAACTAAAGCATAGTTTCTACCTCAAAGAAACACAAAATCAGAAAATAAGAATATATGGAGACATTTTTAAATACAAATATAATACTTAAGTGTTACAAACATGTAATAAGTACCATAAAAAATTATATCAATAAGAGGCATTAAGACTATTTACTTATTTATAGTAAAAACAAGTTATAAAAATGATTTAACCCAGCTTATGAGGTATCAAAAGGTTAAGAAGATAGACAAGAAAATGAAAATAAAAAACCACTTTCCCCAATGTTTTGAAATGGAACAAAAATCACTATATAAATTATTTATTAATAACCACAAAAAAATATGTATATAAATATATACATACATATGTATGTATACATAAAACCACATTATTATATGATTGTGTTATATAACAATAATCTTACATATTAAATGACTAAAGTTAGACTTCAGTAAGAATACTCAGAACATTTAAAGGTCTTACCAACACAAATGTCAGAGAGACCTAATAAGATGACCTCATGGGACAGTCAACAATTTATATTATTATAAAATCTTACTGAAACTGTTATAGTCACTCTAAATGTAATTAAACATTCATATTTCATATTAAAATAGCTGTCTCCAAATCTCTTTTTCAGCACTGAAATAAAAAAGAAAGTGAAAGTCGCTCAGTCATCTGACTCTTTGCAACCCCAATGACTATACAAAATTCTCCAGGCCAGAATATTGGAGTGGGTAGCCTTTCCTTTCTCCAGGGGATCTTCCCAACCCAGCAGTCAAACCCAGGTATCCCACATTGCAGGCAGATTCTTTACCAGCTGAGCTACCAAGTAAGCCCAGGAATACTGGAGTGGGTAGCCTATCCCTTCTCCAGGAGATCTTCCCGACCCAGGAATCAAACCGGGGTCTACTTAATTATAGGTGGATTCTTTACCAGCTGAGCTACCAGTGAAGCCCCTTTTAGACATTACCTTGCAACAATAAATACAGGTGTGTTCAATGTTTAAGCATTTCTGGTTATTAAAACCACAAAAATTTTCCAAGTGTCTGGCTTAAGAAAAACTGAAAAGCTGAATCAGAAAACTTTAAAAATCTCTAGTAGAGTATTATTTTATAACCAGACTTTATTAGCTAAACTTGTAAAATTATACTCTTTGAGATACATAAAAATTCCAACAAACCACCCAGCTATTCAGAGCACAGTATTATAGCAATTTAAAAGACAGAAAATGTAAACTCACCTGAGCTCCTATTGCACTGGTTAACCTGAAGATATACAAAACTATGTCTAAAAATGGCTGTAAAATAAACATCAGAAAGCACAAAATTAAAAAGAACAAAACCACCTACACTGATAGCTAATAAACATGTTAAATACAAAATGCTAGTCAACATTTAACACATAATTGTCAACATGTAGAGTTCTCACTATGTATAAGGTACTGTACAGTACGTAGCTCGATGAATATATAAAAGACACAGTTCTTACTGTCAAGAAGCTCAAAATGGAGACAGCCTGATCAATGTCTACTGACCATCAATTAGGGAAAATATTTACCACTTTCCATCAACTAAGATAGCTCTACTGTGACAACTAACCATTACTTACTTAGCAATTTCTCAATGTAGTATAAAGATGCAAGAAAATGATCTGAATTATAACCCCAAATCTACTACCCATTTTTCTGGTTCCTATATATCTTCATCTGAAAAATGAGAGATTCTTTCTGCTCTTGATGTTGGACTTTATCACAACATCTGTATGCTGAAATATGTTGAGTAAGCTTATAAATCTAATTTTATGATCTAAAACTCAAGCTCCTAAAACTAAAATATCATTAATTTACTGCTCTTCACATAGAGACAATTCAATTGACATACCAAAAGTTGTACATATTTTGAAGTGTTTTTCAAGAAACCCAAATCATGTTCATTTAAGTCCATAGCCACCTTTTCTAATATCTACATCATTACTAGGATAGGTGGGTTGGTTCATAATTGGCTTGTACTAAGGTGAACCTTTTCTTTCCTATCTTATGAACTATCAAGAAGTTAGGCATAGTTACCTATACATATAAAGTTCAAGTGCACTTAAATTACTGACAAAAATAATGATTCCATTTAAGTCAGAGTTCAAACAATTACATATCTTATAAAGTAAATATACTGTAGTATATAGCACCACTACAATTAGTTGATTTGCTAACATTTTTCTTTATTGCAGATGTGATAAGTCCTGAGCTATGGACTAACTCAAGTGCCAAGACGTAATAAAGAATACACAACAAGGTCTACAGAATTACAAGAATAATGTACACAGCACCTCTCCTTCCCAACCCCAACCACCACACACACACAGAGAGCAAACTTTAAAATGTCATAATGGGAAGAGGAAAAGGCAGCTGGATTACTGAGCAATTTGTTGCTACCTCAGTTTCTAGACTTTGGATCAGTAAAGACTTAAAGATAGCTAAATAAAGGACAAAGTTTGGCATGAAGTGAAAAGGTATCTTAGTAGTAAGTAGGCCTGTCAAGAGGGGTAAAGTTCTTGTGAATACACATTACTTTTCTAAGACCTGCCTATCCTTCTACCATTCACATGGTTGAAAAAGAAGCATTCCTCGTCTTCCATTGTGACCCAGCCCCTTGTATACAGTCTTCTGTCTCAAGACTGGATACTTGGACCAACTGTGGCCCAAAGCAAGATTCACTAAAAGTGGTCCACTTTGAGACAAGCTCCGACCACAGACCAAGAGCAGTCATGTGGATCAGATGAGAAATGGGGCATCTGAGAGGAAGAGGGGAGGGAATGCTAGGCAGACAATCTTCTAGATGCCCACTGCATCTCCCAGCTAATGCAGGAAGTAAAGGCAAACAAAATGGCTTAATGAGAAAATCATAGCAACAACTATAAGGTTGGTGAGACAAGAAGAGTAAGAACTGATATAACCAGCATGAAAAAAACTGGCTAAGGTCAGAGTCAAAGCTCTGGCAATATTCTGGAAAGGGGGAAAAACAGTAATTAGAAAAACTAAAATATACTAATATCTTGTGAAAATTTTTTGACTTAAATGAGCTATTAGAATTAGAACTACTGAAGCAGAGAAATGGGTAGGAAGACGTCTACGCCCAGGGCTATGGTTGTCCATTAAAAATAAATTGACCATTAAACTTTAACAACTGCCAGAAGTCACAGGTCAAAAGATAAAAAATCCAAGTTTCTGCTATTTTACTGAAATCAGCATGCAAAATTCTCATAAAATCTTCATGAGACACTAGATCCTCAGTTCTTTGCCACGGCACCTCACAACAATAACTTAAAAAATTAAGCAGTGTAGTTAAGACCATTATAAGAACTTTATAATTTTTTTTATAACAGCATTAAATACTTTTAAAAGTATTTAAATAGGCTGCTGTCATGTTCATCATACACATTTGCTTAGAGTCAAAATTTAGCGAATTAACAACAAAAACAGACAAACTTACCTTACTAAGATTTGAATACAGATCAACTACACTGTTACAAAACTTTTCTACATCTTGTGTAAGTAGCTGGTCTGGATTGGCTATTCTGTTGTCCAGATTTCCCATTTTATAATATGTGAAAGCTCTAAAATAACAAGAAGAAGATGACTTTAAAACAAATGATTCTAAAAAAAAACAACAACAAAAATCACATTATATTATGTAGTGCAAATCTGTAGAAACAGAAAAATTTGGAGCTAGAAGAGGACCTAAAGATTGTCCTAACTTATTTTAGAGATGAAGATGCCAGTCTAGAGAAGGATGATTTGCCAGTTAATGGGAGAGTCAGGATTAGATTCCAAGTAGCTGAGATCTTTCCCTATATGCTTCTGGTTCAAGAGCAATTCACTTGAAAAACATATCTAATAAAAAAGAAACACTTCTATATCTCATTATCATAAGTATTATTTTTAAGTATTTTAAATATAAAATTAGGTTATCACTTACTGGAGATACTCCTCATAGAGGTACTTGGTTAATCTTACTCGGAAGCACAGTTTGAGCTCATTTAACCCAAACTTCAAGAAGTTATTAACCAGAGAAATCTAAAACAAACAAACACAAATTATTAGTTTTGCTTCATTTCTACTTATGAAATCATAATTTATTTCCCTATCATTGGCTTTGTCCCAAATCCTATAATTTTTTAATAACTGATAGTCTGAATTGATATAATTCAGTTCTGCTTTACTTAACATTCCCAAACACACAGAGAATATGCTACATCAAATGCAATCAGCTATTACCCTTTACTTGAAAATTAATTTAAAAATATATTAGTATTAATTATGAAAAGAATCTTGCAACTTTTTGCAGTGGGGAAGGTGTGTATAAACAAACAAAAGGCCAAATCTGTCACCTTTTTATTTGATGTAAAGAACTTGCTTCAGGAGTACTGACATATATGCTTAATATATCTTTTCTTTGCTACTACCAGCACTACAATCCTAGCTAATGGAATTCTATACACACTGCATTTGCATCTGTTAAAAAAAATACTACAAGTTTTACACCAATTAATGCCATTTTCTAGATTATTTCTGGAGTCACCTTTACTCTTTTCCACCACTGTATTAAAATTAATTCTTCCATAGTTCTAAAGTCACATTTACATAAAAATTTTGTCAAGAAAACACTGGTCTGCTGAATCTCAGTCTTTGATTGATACCAACTCTGCTTAATTTTCTCTTTTAGAAGGTTTTCCATGTATGACTATCCTCAAGCTTTATTAAATGACATATTTTCTAATAACTAGATTTTACAATCAAGTAAATTTTACAGTCAGGCTCCTCCCTATTACTCTTACACAAACAATATTAAAATTCTTATTGTGTCAATAAAATAAACACTCAAGCTAAGAAAATTACTTATGATTTGGACTACTTATCTTTATTTTTAGTAAATCCAGGCAATAAATTTCAATTCAACTTAAATCACGTTAGTGGTTCAAGTAAGAGTTTATAGCCTACATCAATGACTCTCAACCAGGATTTCTGCCCTCAGCTCACTGCCTCCACAACCTCACCTTAGCCCTCACAGGAAACCTGGCAATGTTTGGAGACACTAAAGACATTTTTTGTTGTCACAGCTTCGGGAGGGATAGTACTTCCATCTAGTGAGATGTTACTTGAGAAACCCTGGCCTAATCGTCAAAAAACATCATCTCCAGTTGTACATACCTACATATGATGCAAAGAAACTGATCCAAGCATAATTCCTTTAAGTTTTCCATCTAGTATAAAGGTTTGCATTGATACATTTCCTATAAGTTACAAAACTAAACTTGAAAAAATTTAGCATATAAATCTTTAAAGAACTTAATAAGTAAAAATTCTTAAAAGATTTTAGTAAGATGCAATTTTATGTAAAAATTTTTAAAGAAATAACACTTACAAGAGGCATAGCAGCGATGAAGTTGAATAAGTATTTCTTGAAATCTTTTCTGCTACGACCAATGATACCACTGCAAACCACCACATGCAATGCATTAGTTGCAAAAGAAGCAGTATTTGTCACAAAAAAAACCCCTCTGTAAATCTCTAGAATTATTTTCATAAAATTTTACTGAATCGAATGAATCAATAAAAAAAGATGCTAAAATCATTTTCTAACAAAAGCATGAACTTTTGAAATTTTATCATTTTAAACAGTTTGCCTGGAAATCACTCTATAAATGGCAAAATTAAATAAGAATAATAGCTAGTTCTTTCCTTCATTAAAATGATAATTAAACAGCAGGCTTAATTAAGCAGTCACAAAAGGGGTTTTATATGGTGAAACAATTAACTTTACAGACCCAGGAGTGGATTACTGTGGATAAAACAAACTAGTATTTGTTTGTTTTAAATATTTTAACATCCTGATTGTCATTTGTATGGACTAATGGCAGGAAGACAGACTAATGAGAGATCAGCAAACCCTTCTTATTATAAAGGGCCAAGAGCAACCATCTTAAGCTTTGCAGGCCATAAGGTCTCTGCTGCAACTACTCAATTCTGCTACTGGAGAGCAAAAGCAACTAAGAAAGCAATTAACTGTGGTCCTAAGAAAATGTTATCAAAACAGATGGTAGTCGGAAACAAGATCTTTTATTCTTTTTTAATCTATTTTAAATATTTACTGTTTTTAAAATATCCACTAAGAATTTAAGGATTCCACTACTTTTAACCTAGAAAGCCACGATATCATTATAAGTAAGGGATCTTTGACTACCAAATGTGCTCGTGAAAAAAATATAGTTTATTTGATCATGTACTCTTTTTCCAAATGATACTAATATTCCCAAAAGCAAATTAAATGTACTTTGAAAAACAATTGTGCTAAATGATTCAAACCTAGCTCCACACACACACACACAAATGACTGGGATACACACTGACAAGAGAAATAATTTGCCTTTTATGAGGGAGTAGGTGAATAATGCCAAGTAACATGAACTGATCTTTTAGGGCAAAAAAGTTCCACGGTCAAAGAAATCTGGGAAAACCTGAGTTAAAGCTAACAAATTTCTTCACCAAAGAGCCTCTCAAAGCTCTAAAGTATATTATACATTGTAAAACTCTCTGAGAGTTTTGTAGCACTGTAGCATTTCCTTCGCCATAGCTAAGATTCCAAAGAACATATTTTGGGAAATGTTACTCTAGACCGATAGAAAAATTAACAATCTAATCTTGACATAGGTGCTGAAAATTTAAACAGAAAAAAAATTTAAGCTGAACTAGAAAAAAGTTAAAATAGAACCACACAAAAAAGTTTTCTACAGCAGTAAGAAAATTAGAGATGAGAAGCAATTAAGACAGTACAAAAATTTAGAGGTTTAAATTAAAACTGAACCAAACTTCACATAAAATCAAAGTGCTTTAGTGCTGCCCAAGCTGTGAAACACACAAGATTATCAAACACTGGTAAAGCACATGCCATCATTCAGCAATGGTTTACCATTGGAGTAGCAGCTATAAATTTAAAAAATGGTTTCTTGAATAAAGCTTTATTTCTGCTTATTATTCCACTGCAAAAGAAAAATAATAATCAATAAAGAGTAATTTTACAGTAGTCCCAGTCATAATTACTTCTAAAACATATAGGAATTAAGATAGTTTTGTAATTTTAAAATGCTACTTACAGCCAAGTGGGTGAAAATAAAATATATATTTATGATAACATATGGCAGTATAGGGGAACAAAATTTGCCAAAATGCATCTCTTTGGCCTCAGGCTAGTTTTAGGCTGCTTATTTTAAAGAAACAGAAGTGTTAGGAAGCCTTTCTTTTTTGCCTTCCCCTTAGCTGCCTAAAGAATTTAGGAAAAAAGGCCTGCTCCCAGGACAGAGCTATGACCACATTTATCTGCAAAGCACATGGGCCAAATGTGCTGAGGGAATCAGATATGAGAGTCCACTCTGAGTCCACTCTAAGTCTGGACCACAAGGCCCAGCAAACATTTGTTTACCAAGCATTCACTTTTCCATCTTCATGTAAATTGTCTGTCTCCCCTGTAAAGTCCCAAACCACTACCCCTAACACCCTCTTTTGTTTTTAGCTGAAGATGGTTTTTAAGATGAGGGCTTTGGCCATTTTGGAGAGTTACTAAGTTCTCCAGGGTCTCTCCCATGTATATATGTTATTAAAATTTTGTTTCATTTTCTCCTGTTAATCTGTCTCATGTCAATTTAATTCTTAGATCAGCCAGAAGAACCCAGGAGAGTAGAGGAAAATTTCTTCCTCTCTAGCAACAGCAACAAGATATGAAGGATTACCTTCCATATCATAGAAATGTCAACCTTTACCTTAAAGAAGGGTATGCTATTAAAATTTGCCCCATTCCAAAGACATTAGTCACTGCTAACAAGTAAGCCTAAAAGATGTCAAGGATACTAAAATTAAGCACATCAAGGATCACAACAAGTCTCTTTGAGACTCTATTTTAGCGGAAGTGTATATGAATCTAAACACACCTTGGAAGAGTCAAAACAGAAAAGACAAATTTACAATGTAGCTTTAGTAGCAGGTTAAAGAAATGTGTTAATTTTTCAAATCAAATTGTTTTATATTACGAATTCACAGTATCTTAGAACTTTACATTTGACCAAATATCAAATATCTCATGCACAGGAGAAGCTCAAAAACATTCAGGAGAAAGTTAACAATTAACTTTTTTAATTTTTAGAGCAGAGAAAGGCTTATCACAGGGTCAAGCAAGGAGAATGGGTGGCTTGTGCTCAAAACCTCCTGACCTCAACAATTAACTAAAACGGCTGCTTTAGAATCCATGAGTGTATGTTAAGAATATAATGAGAAATGCAATATTTCCTGTCATATCAGTAAACAAAGGATGACACAGTCATCAGCAACTGAAGCCACCACAGATGGTTAAGCTGCTGAGCGCTGAGGGTACCCAGGAAGGAAGGAACACCTGCCACCTAGCAGCCATCAGACTGCGGCTGCCCCTTACAAAGAGCTCTGAGGAAAGGAGGCTCAGGACGGAAAACAGGACACTGGCCCCAGACAGGTGAGGTGCACATTAAAGGAATGAATTTCTGTGAGCCCAGACTCTTGCATTTTCCCATACATAGAAAAGCGCTAAATTCCTTAACTTGGGATAGTTGGTTTTCTTTAAGTAACAATAACCTCTTGATGTTCAGACTACCTGCCCTTTGTTGCAAAACTTCTATATAACCTGGCTCCTCCCCTCGCCTCCTGGGAGCAGCTCTCTCAGGGTCATTGGAGATGCTGTCTCCTGGGCTTGAAGTCCTAAAAATTCCCACAGACTAAAATTCCCACTAAAATTCCCTAAAATTTTAAATTTAATTTAAAATTTAAAAATACCACTAAAATTCCCTAAAATTCCCCTAAAAATTCCCACAGACTAAAACACAGACTAAAAATTCCCACAGACTAAAACTCTTAACTTTTAGGTTGTGAGTAATTTTTTAAGTCCACAATAAGAAGATCCTTGTATTATTCTTGCAACATCTCTGCAAGTTTAAATTACAGCAAAATAATGTGCTTTTTAACACTCTTAAAATTTTTTGTTTTCTTACTTTTTCTATATCTCATAACTAAATTTTAAAACTGAGTACCCAACAAGTTGATTAGTCTGGCAGAATTATAAGCTGGCTCATGCTACACAATAATTTCTTCTTATCCACCATCACCAATTAATGTACCACCTACTCATAGTCAAAGCTATGGTTTTTCCAGTGGTCATGTATGGATGTGAGAGTTGGACCACCGAAGAATTGACGCTTCTGAACTGTGGTGTTGTAGAAGACTCTTGAGAGTCCCTTGGACTGCAAGGAGATCAACCAGTCCATCCTAAAGGAGATCAGTCCTGGGTGTTCATTGGAAGGACTGATATTGAAGCTGAAACTCCAATACTTTGGCCACCTGATGTGAAGAGCTGACTCATTTGAAAAGACCCTGATGCTGGCAAAGACTGAGGGCAGGAGGAGAAGGGGACAACAGAGGATAAGATGGTTGAATGGCATCACTGATTCAATGGACATGAGTCTGAGTAAACTCTGGGAGTTGGTGATGGACAGGGAGGTCTGGTGTGCTGCAGTCCATGGGGTCGCAAAGACTCAGACACGACTGAGTGGCTGAACTGAACTACTCTTAGTAATGCATTTTTCTCCAGAGCATTCAGTCTTTGAGAAAATTAAAATAAGCATCTATTTAATTAAAGTTGAAAATCCCTAGATAAAAATTATTCTTTTAGGTTACAAAAACATGAAATCACAAAATCTGAATAAAAGGGAAAAAACTTTAAAAAATAATCTTCTATACTATACCATGATTGTGCAGGGTTCTTTATATGTATCATGTGACATATTTATCACATGTGTCATGTGATACATTTATATGTATCATGTGACATACATACATATCTAATATAATGTTCATAGTGGATGTAACCTGTTATTTTTGCCACAGGTAATTAATAATGCTATAGTTAGGAAGACTATTTTCATTAACAGATATGGCAGTCAAATAATAAGTAAAGCCAGAGGAAAAATAAATAAAATTCTATAGTTTGTAAAAGGACATAAAAGCCTTCTCTATATTAATTATACAAAGGACTCAAATTACTTGTGCACAAACCTCACAGAAAGAGAACTTAGCAATGAAACTGATCCTGCTAAAGCCGATGTGCTAGCAGCAACAAACAAATACTTCTTAGGATTCTTTAGAAGATTTCTCACTGGGACACACACACACACACACACACACACACACACACACACAACTGACTAGACTCTCCCTACAAATTCCCTTCAGGGAAACCAGACAATCAACAATCCGACAACTTGGCTTCTAACAAGTTAAATATGAATACACAGCCAAGAGTAAGGGCTTGAGGAAAGCCCTAACAAGAATGACAAAGATCAGAATAACAAAGGACAGTGAAAGTCAAAGACCTGAAAGAATGACTACTACCAAAAATGAACATTCATACAAAAACATAGTACTTGGAAATAAATTAAAACAAAAATTCACTGGATGATAAAAGAAATCTCCTAGAATATACAATAAAATGTCAGAGATGTAAATAGAAGAGAAATTACAGTCAGATGATCAGTCCAGGAAGTCCAACACTCAGCTAGTAAGAATTTCAGAAAAAGTAAAGAAAAAAAATGGAGAGGAAGAACTTTTTTAAAAACACAAGAAATTACTTTGGAATGAAGAATGAGACTGAAAGAGCCTAGCACAATGACAAGGAATGCAAAAAGAAATTGACACTAACATTCAGTGAAATGCCTAAACACCAGCAATACAGAATCAATAATAAAGAAATAATAAAACTACCAAAGTGGGTCAAAGCAGATCTGCTACTAAGGGTGGGCAACCAGCATAGGATTGGGCCTAACACCCAATGTGGAAACTGGATCAGTAGTTTCTAACCTTGGCTACACAGTAGGATCACCTGGGATGCTTCAAAAAAGGAATAACTAATTGAATCAGAATCCCAAGGGGTAGGCCCAGGCATTAGTAGTTCTCAAAATTCCCCAGATGAGTTTAATTATTCCGCAGCCAGGGTTGAGAACCACAGAACACTATAGAAGACAATAGGGTGATGCCTTCCACATGACAAAAAGTGACTTCCAATTTAGAATACATAAATAAAGCTAAATTATCAATCAAATGTGAGAACAGAAGACTTTATCAGACCTACAAGGTCTCAAAATTTTACTTCTCTTGTAACCTTTTCTCAGAAAAAGACTGTATCTGCCAAAAAGACAAAGTAAACTGAGGAAGAGGAAAACCAAAGATCCAGAAGACAGGAGTTATTTAATGCAGGAGAGGAAGAGGAAAAAAATTCCTAAGATCATGATAAAAGTAAATTCAAACATGACTGCTATTTAGTGGAGCTAAAGCACAATCAATCCTGATGCGAGCAGGAAGACAGAAAACTAAAAGAGGTATGGGGAGGGATGGTAATAGAAGTAAAAATCAATAAGTTATCTGGTATGTTTGACATATTACAAAATTGAGATTTTAAAGTGTTGAAATAAGCTTGAGCTGAATTAGTAAGCAGGCAAAAAATTAATGTACACAAAAACCTGCAGTTTAAAAATGCCAGGAAAAACAAAAAGTTGTATGTAAAAGAAACTACCAAAGAAGAGCATGTGGCTCAGCTGTAAATAATAATCAAAATTATGTAAACAATAAATTCTGGTTTAACAAAAAACTGTGATACAACATTGCAAGAATGAGCATGGACACAGTGTTAGGTGTGTATAAGAGCTAACTCTCATCTTCTAAGAGATAAACAAATATACATAGTGTCTAAAACTGAAAAATGTAGAGACAGTAACGTAAGCATGTTACAATGAAGTGGAGAGACAAAGAAAGAGATGAAACAGCAAGAACAGAAAGTTGGCTCCAGGAATCACAGAGGATTGATGGTTTTGTGATTAAGTTCTGTAAGGTTATTTGATATTAAACTATATTCATGTTTTACTTCTTAAGCTATCCATACATTACCTTGATTAAAATAAAAAGGCATGGGGCTAACCAAAGGATTCAGGGAGTCCTGAGTTGAATATTAGCATCTATACCCCACTGATAGCCTGCTAGGCTCTGCTGTTCATGGAATTCTCCAGGCAAAAACACTGGAGTGGGTAACCCATTCCCTTTTCCAGGAGATCTTCCCAACCCAGGGATTGAACCCAAGTCTCCTTCACTGCAGGTGGATTCTTTACCATCTGAGCCACCAGGAAAGCCCCAGGACACCCAAACACATATTCTAAGGCATGTGGAATTTACATATTCAAAGATCTGTGGTTGGGGCTTTACTCCCATGCAGACAACCTTCTTCGTTTTTCTAGATACAGGAGTCAGAAAATATCTGCATAAAACATTCTTCCTCTCCTACAAATCCTCTCAAGTCATGAATCAAGGATGTCAAAGAAAAAAAATACTTTCAAAATTTGGGAGCATTTAAAAATTTTAAGTACTGTCATTTAAAAAGTTATCTTAAATGTTTTAAGAAATTTTCTGATAAAATACTACATACCAAGAAACAAAATACCAAGAAAAATTTTCTTACTGACATTCAAATTTGTATTATCACAAGGAATAAATCCTTTATTTACAGATAAAAGTTAATATAACTGTTATTTTTGTTTTCAAATTCAAAGTCATCTATTACAGTGATTAATAATATGTACAAAGACTGTAAAAAAAATACACAAAGCACTAACTTCAGAAATTGAAGGAAATGCCTTATAATTTTTGTTTAATAAACATTCTCAACATGATTCCCTGAAATGCTTTGATATTTTCCTCAAATTATCTCATTAATATCAGACATCCAATTTGGCGACTTAAGTTCCCACTACAGAATTTAATATACAGCGCATTCCTTTTTTTTTTTTTCTTTTTGGCCATGTCACACAGCATGGAGGATCTTAGTTCCCAACGACTCAGATCAGTGGCCCTGCGGTGAAAGCACAGACTCTTAACCACCGGACCACCAGGGTGTCCCACAATTTTCTATTTACTTGTCTCTGACCCCTCTATACACTGCCAGCTCTGCTAGGGTCTCTCCTGTTCACTAACAGGTACATCCTTATCTCTGCCTATGGCACAAGGGAGACAGTCAACCAGTATCTACTAAATAAATGAACAAAGACATAATTTGACTTACATTATTTATACCTAATTAGAATCTATTTCTTGCTTAAGATAATGCTTAAATATGACACAAGTTAGTATTTCATACAAAAAGGGAGGAAGATGAAAAGTACCTTTCAATGAGTGTCCCATTTTGGATCATCCAAACATCACAGTATGTTCGAGACACCAGCATAACAGCAATAAGTATCAAGTAACCTGTCTAAAATAAACCAGGTATAGTAAATTAATTAAATGCATTTTAAAAAGTTAAAAGAAGCATTACTTTGGTAAAGATTTTTGGTTTCTAAATTCAAAGCTTTACTCTAGCTTTACTGTAGTTGGCTGACATTCTACTGATAGGTAATTTTTAAATATAATTTTGAAAGAAGTTTAAGTATATATTATAAATGGAAATAGCCTTATAGATCAGTTAATCTAACTTTTTCATCCAGAATTAAAAAGTGCTTCCAGCTCAAGATGGTGGAGTAGAAAGACATGCCCTCATCTCCTCCTGCAAGAGCACCAAAGTCACAAGCAGCTGTTGAACAACCATTGACAGGAGGATGCTGGAAACTACCAGAAGAGATACTCCACATCCAAAGACAAAGAAGAAACTGTAGCAAGATGGTACCAGGGGCACCGCAATCATGATAAAATCAAAGCCTATACCCGCCAGGTGGGTGACCCATAAACTGGAGAAAGTGAAAGTGAAGTCGCTCAGTTGTGTCCGACTCTGTGACCCCATGGATTGTAGCCCACCAGGCTACTCCATCCATGGAATTTTCTAGGCAAGAGTACTGGAGTGGATTGCCATTTCCTTCTCCAGGGGATCTTCCCAACCCGGGGACTGAACCCAGGTCTCCCACATCACAAGCAGACACTTTACCGTCTGAGCCACCAGGGAAAATAATACCAAAAGAAGTTCTCCCACTGTTGTGAAGGTTCTGAACCCCACGTCAGGCTTCCCAGCCTGGGGATCTGATAAAGGGACTGGGAATTCCCAGGGTATCAGACTTTGAAGGCCAGTGGGATTTGATTACAAGACTTCCACAGGACTGGGGGAAACAGAGATTCCAGTCTTCGGAGGGCACAAACAAAACTTTGCATGTACCAGGACTTATATGCTGAGTACATCATGAGAAACGCTGGGCTGGATGAAGCACAAGCTGGAATCAAGATTGCCGGGAGAAATATCAATAACCTCAGATATGCAGATGACACCACCCTTATGGCAGAAAGCGAAGAAGAACTAAAGAGACTCTTGATGAAAGTGAAAGAGGAGAGCGAAAAAGTTGGCTTAAAGCTCAACATTCAGAAAACTAAGATCATGACATCTGGTCCCATCACTTCATGGCAAATAGATGGGCAAACAGTAGAAGACTTTATTTTCTTGGGCTCCAAAATCACTGCGGATGGTGACTGCAGTCATGAAATTAAAAGACGCTTACTCCTTGAAAGAAAAGTTATGACCAACCTAGACAGCATATTAAAAAGCAGAGACATTACTTTGCCAACAAAGGTCCATCTAGTCAAGGCTATGGTTTTTCCAGTGGTCATGTATGGATGTGAGAGTTGGACTATAAAGAAAGCTGAGCACCAAAGAATTGATGCTTTTGAACTGTGGTGTTGGACAAGACTCTTGAGAGTCCCTTGGATTGCAAGGAGATCCAATCAGTCCATCCTGAAGGAGATCAGTCCTGGGTGTTCATTGGAAGGACTGATGCTGAAGCTGAAACTCCAATACTTTGGCCACCTGATGTGAAGAACTGATTCATGTGAAAAGACCCTGATGCTAGGAGAGATTGAGGGCAGGAGGAGAAGGGGACGACAGAGGATGAGATGGTTGGATGGCATCACCGACTTGATGGATATGAGTTTGAGTAAACTCTGGGAGTTGGTGATGGACAGGGAGGCCTGGCGTGCTGCAGTCCATGGGGTCACGAAGAGTTGGACACGACTGAGTGACTGAACTGAACTGAACTGAAGACTCAGAGGAAAGGAGTAGCAATCCCACAGGAGACTGAAACAAAACTACCTGTTAGTGTTGGGAGGGTCTCCTGTGGAGGCGTGGGTCAGAGGGGTGACCACAGGGATGGGGGCACTAGGATGGGAAGGTCCCCTTTGGTGTAAACCCTCTTGGAGATCACCATTAACCAGAATTTAATTAAAAAGTGAATCCCAGGCAGGTCAATGATTTGCCTTCACATAATTAGTCAGTGACAGAAACCAGCAGTATAACTTGACTACCTAAATTACAATGTATTGTGATTGTCTTACATTTTTAATATACAACTCTAATGAAAAATGACAACTACCAATATACAGTTATCAACAAATACTGAAGCCTAAATTTTGCTTAAGTAGAATAAATTTGGTTCAATTTGTTAGAAAAATCTTTAATAGGCAGTGCCCCTGCTCTAGCAGGGCTTTCAATTTAGTTATTTATGCAAGATTTACACATAACAAGTAAGAAAACAGACCAATGTAAGTAAGTATATTTGCATCACTTCATGCAATAAGTGGGCAAACTGGAAGGTGTGAAGTAACAAAAGAGGGTTATGACATTAGAAATACATCAAATAAACCAAGTAAACCAAAAAGAATGAGGATTATGAGTTTAAAAAAAAAGATTTAATGGAAAATAAAAAACAGATTAAAACCACATGAATTATCATATCCAGCAGAGCTTAAAAAACTACTGCAAGCTTTCGGGTAGAACAAAATATTAAAACCTGTTGTTTAAAGAACATCACTTAAGCAATGCTGGGAGAGACAGATTACTGAGGAGAGATGAGAGGCTGAGTCACTGGTGAGGAGTCAACTGTCTTGGGTGTGGGACCAGAATTCATACTCCAGCCTCCAACTCCCACACACACCCACTCAAAACTGACCTAGATCTTTCTAAATTGGAAGAATATATACAGCAACACAGAAGCTAAAATCAGAGAGGAGGGGTATGGCAGGGGAAATGTTTGCTGGATAAAGTGTTTGATTTTGAATTTACAGAATTGAGGGGCAAATGCATCTACGACTTCTGCATTTTTGCAAACAAATCTTGTTTTCAGAAAAGGTGAAGGTACTAAAAATGTGAAAGACAAGACAGGGAGTCAAAAACACAGAAGTAATAAATGAATCCATAAGAAAGAAAACAACGTCAAAAAAGAGTCTATGGGACTGAGTTGTGACAGCTGCTCCCCCAATGTTTCCCAGAGTTGGCTGGCAAGAAGGGTACCATCTTCCTACCTTGTCCCACCATCTCAAAGTTAGGTATTAAACTGACAACAGAAGAACCCACTGATTTTTAATAAATGGTCTCTGTAGATGACACTAACTATAATGCTAACTTTTAGTTCAGACCTTAAATACAGTCTCAATCCTAAATTAATCATTTGAGGAATAAAGGTAACATTAGACAAAGACAGTTTATATATTCCTTTATTTTATGTACTTTGCTTCAGTGCAGTTCAGTTCAGTTCAGTCGCTCAGACTTTGCCTAACTTATTCTTAAAATAACTACCAAGTTTATTTGGCTCACTTTAGCAAAATCTATTAAACTTTTGACTACTGACCATCCAGAAATGCATTTTTTGTGCAAAAGATGTCCTTAGAATCACCATAATTCCATTCCTGGGTTTGCAGAATATGTCAGAAACTAAAGATCAGCCTGATTTAGGCAGTCCCTCACCTCATGATATAGATGAACTTCCATATATTCATATGCAGTATTTTTATTTATTCCATAATCTCTATCTCTACCTCTAATTATCTGTGATTTCTACTAGAGTTTATTTCACTTTCTTGAACTGGGATTAAGCCTGCACTTTTCTGTCCCTCAAAATGGCTCTGTGGCATGGATACACATTGACAGAACTGGAAGGTTGGCCAAGTTAGGCTTGTCAAGCTACTTACTAACTCCCAGAGATCTATCCAATGTCTCACATTCACTTTATATTCAGCAAACCCCTGCTAAAAGGTTAAATGAACATTAAGCTGTGAAGTGATGGAGGGGGAGGGGGACGTGTAACACAAATCTTTCCAGCTAAGCTTATATTTTAAATAAAGATTCTTCAAAGTCAGGTAGGTTTTGGAATGAGGAAACAATTAACTATCCCCAGAAGATACATGGCGCGCCTTCCCAAAGAAGATAGTGAGCATTAAGCTGTTTTCAAAACATATTTTTTGTTGTGGGTGTTGTCATAAACATGGTGTCATTAAAAAATGAGAACACGGGGCCTGGCTATAAAACAGCAAAGACTCTTAGAAGTATATGACACTGAAAAGAAAAGGAAAGTCCGGGTGTGATTTACAAGATAAAAGAAGCCAAATGTCCTTGTAAGTGTTTTAGAAAGAAATACTGGTTAAAAAAGAAGACCAATTAAGAGATTATAATAATCCAAGTAATGGAGAACAGTATAAAAGGGAAGAAAGGGACTAATCAAAGAGAAACTCAAGGGTACTTGGAAAAAAACATTTAAAATATAAGGGATGAAGCAGATTTTAAAAGTGCATATCCAATTTTCCTCCTTGAAACATGCTGTTGTTCAGTCGCTAAGTTGTGTCTCTTTGCGACCATGGATTGCTGCACACCAACTTCCCTGTCCTTCACTGTCTTCTGGAATTTGCTCAAATGCACATCCACTGAGTGGGTGATACTATCTAAACACACATTATCTAATTAGGAAAAAAACAAATGTTATTAAATTACTTTTCAGAGTTTCTTAAGGGTAGAGTCAACAAGACATGATGCTAAAGTGAGGGGAAGGAGAGCAAGCACAGTAGATGGAGGAATGTGTCTTTTCTGAGGATTACTGTGCTTTAATGTCCTACCCTTTTCTTGCTGTCACTAGATTATAAGGCTAATGATTTTTAAAATGCGAAGAGTAGGAAACAATTATGTTTGAAGAAGACAAATTTGGCAGAAAAGATTTTAAAAGGAGAGATTCTTTGAAACGAGGCTAATTGAAAAACACTGTAGTATCTAGGTAAGAATGTTTAGAAAGAAAAATTAGCAGATATCAATGACTAAAAGGATGACAGGTATGTATGGAGAGGAGAAAGAGTCAAGGTGATAACATTTCCAGTTGTACAAAAGGAGAATACTAAGGTAATTAAAGATGGAGAATGCAGTATTATTTTATTTTTTAATCATTAAAAATAATAAATAGTGATAAAGATAAGATATCTTGATAGAATGGCAAAGAAAATAATAAAACTTTATTCCAACAATCAGTTCATTTCCTAAAAATAAAGAATTCAGGTATCTTAAAAACATTAAATCAAATATGAAAAAGCAACCTTCAAACATATTTTGTATCAATGTTACTTGTTAACATCTTAAAGTAATAAAAAGATCTTTCTAAATTTAATCTTGTCTTCAATATAATAAAGTAACACCATTTAGGATAGCTGTACTGAAGCACTCCAGTATTTCACATAAAATATAATAAAATAATATTTCACAAGCAATAGAAAATCATTTAAAAACTGGCACTGAACAACAAGGGTATTTGCAAGACAGGCAATGACTTAGACAAAAATTTAGTCTTCACTGGAAGAGACAGAAGAGATATTTGACCTGTAGCAGAACAAAGGCTTTATAATTCTGTTGTCCTGACCTCATGTAACCACTTAAGTTGAACACTGAACAGTTTTATAAAGGAATAATTTCATAAGACTTACCTCTTTACAAAATGTTTTAGGTACCATGATTTTCAGAATTCGCATGAGTCTTGAAAAAAACACCCTGTCCACCATAGCTCGCTCTCTTTTCCCCTCTTTCTACATTAAAAAAAAAAAAGAAAGAAACCTTTTTAAATAGCTATAACAAAGAAGATTTAAAAACCGTTTCATCTAAGTCAATATAAACAATTATCAAGATGGGCACTGTATTTGAAGAACACAGTCCTACACTGTTCTTCATATTCAAACATGCTTTCAAAAAAATAAGATGTTACCAAAAACTGAAAAAGGAGGTGATAAGTTCTGAAGCTGCAGAAAATATATGGAAAAAGAACACTGCAAACAGAAGAAACAGTAAGTGCCAAATACCAAGGTGAAAGCCCATTTAACAACAAAATGCCCAATCTGGCTGGAGCTGTGAGCAAGAGATAGCAGTAGAAGATGAGGTCAGAGGACAACTAAGAAATGGTCAAGTACTTCCTGTTTGTTCATTATCCACTTCCTGATTAACAACAGAATTTTTAAAAAAATCTTGAACAGGAATTCTCCTTCTATCAACTACAGGAAACATTCGGATTCCTAGATTGATCTTTTAGCATTTCTAATGTGCACTCTCTTCCTTAAGAATTCAAAGACAGACAAGGTTCCCTCACTCATTCAGTTCATATTCTAGCAGGGGAAACACAGGTAAAAATAAACCAATAAACAAGTTACTAGAGACAGACCAGGCAGGGTCAAGAGAAAAAGAAAAGTACGAGAAGAAAGATCTCTTGGGGGGAGGGCAGGAGAGTGCGGGAACACCAGGCCCAGACCCACTCAGGACTAGAACTGGTGCGCAGGCCGAAGAGCAAGACGACGGGGCAGAGGGGACGGAGGGAGGAGCGGAGGGCCGGGCAGGGCCCCTGCAGAGCAGAGCCCTGAAGCCGCGGCAGGATTCAGAGTTCACTGTCAGTGTGGAGGGAGACCACCGGAGACAATGAAGAGCAGCAAGCCATCCTACTAGTAGCGTCGGTCACTCAGTCGTGCCCGACTCTTTGCGGCCCCACAGACTGCAGTCTGCCAGGTTCCTCTGTCCATGGGATCCTCGAATACTGAGTGGATTGCCATTCCCTTCTCCAGAGGATCCTCCCAAACTAGGGATCGAACCCAGGTCTCCTGCACTGCAAGCAGATTCTTAACCGTCTGAGCTACAGAGACTATGCTCAGACATTTCTTCATTTCCACTGGTCTATGAAAATGAAGATACAAACCACTTGTAAGGATAAGAAAAAAGTGATGTGAACTGGGTATAGTGGACGTTATTTACTTATCTTTGGGCTGTCTGGAAGAACCGGCAGAAGAAACTTGTCAGAATAGGCAAGACTCTCCAGAAGGACCTCATCCTCAATTTAGCTCCTTTCCCCAGCTCCCATAATCTCTGCTCACTTATTTACTAACTACTATGCTCTTGATACTATGCCCATGATAAACAAATAGCCATGGTATAGTAAATTCTATTAGACAAACTTTGTTGTAAATGTGCTTTAAACCTTAAGTGAGTAGTCTATAAACTGAATTAGAATAATAAGCTACCATCCACATGTCAGACACTGTACTAAGAGCTTCATATATGTAATCCTAATGAACAGTCACTGCATAGAGTACAGAATTGTAGACTAAGAAATGAAGGCACTGAATGTGCAGTTAGGTCAGCAAGACTATGACAGAAATAATTGTTTAAGAATCAACTCATGTACCTTTGATACCTGCTAGAACAAAGTTCAGGTCTTTCAAAACTTAGAAACCTCATCCTACTGAGTCACAGGCCAAAATCTACTTCATTCACATGTATATGCATTCATTCATTAATTATTTACTTGGTCCCAGGCGTTATTCTAAATCATAGGGATACACTAGTGAACAAAACTTAAAACGCCCTATTCACAGTCGATTTACTCTAGCTAGTTTATTCTCCTCAAGCCAAACTTTACAACTTCAACCTAAATCTCTCCTTTCACTCCCCCACCCAAACTGAAAGTACAGAAAGAATAAAGAGAAGGCAATATAACATCAACTACCTTAAAACAAAAAGTTAAACTGCCTCCCAACCTCACTTCATCCTACCTGTAGTCAATACCTTCTCCATTTCTAACTTGAGCCTTAGAATAATTTCAAGATAAAATGACCACTTCCGATTTAAACAAAGGACTACTATTTCTAGCTGCTCTAAAGAAAGGATCTAGGACAAACCATGAGGAAGGTTAAAAAAAAAAAAAGTTATAAGAAAGTAACAATGAAGTACCTGGTATATAATTAGCCCTTTACCTGGTATATAACTTCCCCTCCTCTTTTTCTCCTGTTCCTATTGTCACTGCTCCTATTTCTTATGCTGTCTGAAAGCTGACTATTATTTTTGTTAATTTGAATCCATGAAGGGAACTGTATAGTTCCTAAAGTCAGGAAACACCAGACACCTGGACTGGAGGGCTGACTCAGAAAGGCTGAAGAAATATCAAGGTACTCCACTATTCCTGACACATAATAAAATTCATACCTGAAACCAATCTAAATGCAAATAACTACAGAGACAGTACATCTCATAAACACTACGTCTCTTCTAAGAATTCATTTTAAATTCACAATTGACTTCTCCACCTATAAACTTCCCAGTAATTTTTAAAAATATTAAAAAAACACTTTGATGATATAAATCTGACATGCAAATCATAGGGGAAAAAACCATTAAAGACCATTTAGGAAGCTAAAGTAATAATGCAATCAGAAAAAAAAAAATATGTCCCTAACATTCAAGAGGCAACAATGCCAAAGGGCAATGAGATTCTACTGATGTGTCAATCAGCTTAGAAAGATGACATGAACTAGAGTTGACCAAAAAAGACAAATGCTTGAAATAGCAAATAAAAGGTCATAGGGTACTGACGAAAGTGTAAGCACCTCTGTATAATGTTAGAGAAACTATACATCAACACAACTATTATGCTGCATCCATCAAAATGAACAATGTATACTCACTGTTATAAGCAAACAATCCAGCAAATTTACTTTCAGAAACTTATCCTAGAGGTATTCCTACACATGTGCTTAAATACATAAATGAAAAACTCGTATACTGTTTTATAATACTATAAAATTAAAAACCTAAATTACGAGACACTACATAAATCATGGCAAATTTATGCAGTGAAGACTACACAATTGCAGAAAAGGAAGCAGCTCATATTTATACAAGAGAATACTAGAGTGGTTAAATTAACTAGGTCTATAGCTATCGACATATATGGATCTTAAAAAAACAATATGCTGAAAAAAAGCAGAATAAATACAATGATTTGATTCATAAAATTTTCCAATAAGCAAAATAATTCTACTTACAGTGTTTATGGAGCTATACACATACCTCAAAAGGATAAAAATATGCATGGGAATGCTAAATGCCAACCCAGCACAGAGTTATCTTTACATATTTTGAATTTTATATCCTGTGTATTATATCAAAATTAAAAGAATATTTTAAAATCAAGTCAACACTCTTTATACTCTTCTCTAAAATTTTTTCTCCTTAAATCTCATGTCTTATGAAAATTATCTCACCTCAACCCATCCTACCAAAGACTAAAACTTTCAATGAAAAAAATTCTAATTGCTTCCCCTCATAAGACCCATTCACTGTAGAAAAATTAGAAAATTCTGACAAGCAAAAACAGAGCCTATATCTACCATTTAGAGATGTCAAGTATTAACATCTGGCACAGATCTTACCAACATGTCTGTGTGAGACTAAAAATTTCAATGAAAAAAATTCTAATTGCTTCCTCTCATAAGAGACACATTCACTGTAGAAAAATCAGAAAATTCTGACAAGCAAAAACAGAGCCTAAATCTACCATTTAGAGATGTCAACTATTAACATTTGGCACAGATCTTACCAATATGTCTGTGTGTGCACTTCCTATAAATTTTACAAATGTGGTACCAATATGTACACTGTCTTAAACCTTTTTTTGCCAACCATTTGCTCTAAAACTAAATTTATCTTGCTTATACTATACGAGTAGCAAACAAGTAGATGTTTTTTAGAATATACAAAAAATAGGAAGAATTTTAAAATGTGTGAATAAATACTGATGTACTGAATAGGTTCAGTCATATCCTAAAACTTGCAGGTATGGTGGTAGGCAGATAATGATATCACTAAGATAACTAAGCTTTGAAGACTCAGGTATAACTTATATATGAGAGACTATGAAGATGGAAATAACAAGATAAGCGTAAGATGTCCCATTTTTCAGACTATGGAAACTAAAGAGTAGCAATTTGATGTCAATATTCAGGATATTCAGAGAATAGACATTAATATGAGGGCTCAGGAAGACCTAAGAGACTCTAATCACAAGAAGCCAGCAGAAGTTTACTACGAATGAGTCATATCAAACCCTTTTAATTTTGTTCTTTGTCAAGAATATCGTATTAGTATATTAGCTGACATAAGCTCCATGATGGTAGGAACTTTTGTAACTGCTATACACACAAAACCAGAACAATGCCAGGCATACATGAGGTACTGAATCAATACATGGTGACAGACTGACTTAATAAACAAATTAATAAATTTATCAAGGAATTTGATATTTCTTATAAAACTATCGTGGCCTTAGTGGAAAAATAAAGACCCAGATTTTGTGACAGTTGGATATAGTCACAGCTAAATAAACCGTAACCAAAAAAACAAATATTAAGATATGCCACAGAGGAATTTTCTTGTCCTAACCTAGTCAATACTATCAGCAATTGGGAGAAAGAGAAGACAAATTAAATTTGTACATAATACTTTGCACCTAACTCATTAGGTGTTAGAATTATATTCAAAATTACACTAGGAGTTCCCTGGTGGCTTCGTGGTTAGGATTCCAGGCTTTCACTGCCATGGCCCTGGTTTATATCTGGTCAGGGAGCTGAGATCCTGAAGGCTGTAAGTGTGGCCAAAAAGAAAAAAAAAATTACAGTAATAGAATACATATATTACAGAATAGACTAGTAGTATAGACCCTACAGGTTGACCTAATGTTTATCGAAAAGCAACCACCTGAGTTCCCATATGACCTAGAAATTTTACTCCTAGGTATATACCCAAGAGAAATGAAAACGTATGTCCACATGTCCATGTGAAAACCTGTACATGAATGCATGAAAGTTCACAGCAGCATAATTCATAATGATCAAAAAGGAGGAAACCCTTAAATTTACCACAACTAACAGTTAAGCAAATATGGTACATCTAAACAACGAAATGAAGTGAAGTGAAGTGAAGTTCAGCTGTGTCCAACTCTTCGTGACCCCATGGACTATATATAGCCTACCATGCTCCTCCGTCCATGGGATTTTCCAGGCAAGAATACTGGAGTAGGTTGCCATTTCCTTCTCCAGGGGATTACAATTCAGCAATAAAAAAAAATAATAATAAAGTACTGATGCATTCAACAACACATATGAACCCTAAAAACATCATGTTAAATAAAAGAAGCCAGTCACAAATTGCCAAATATTACCACATGATTCTATTTCTATGAAATGTCCAAAATAGGCAAATCAAGAGACCAGTGGCTCAGTGGTTACCACCGGCCAGGAGGAGAAGGTAATGAGGAGTGATTACTAATGGGTACGGAATTTCTTCATGAGGAATTGAAGTTTTTTTAAAATTAGATAGTGGTGATGACTGTATACCTCTGTAAACATACTAAAACTACTAAATTGCACACTTAAATGGACGGATTTTATGGTATATGAATTGCACCTCAATAAAACTGTCACACAAAAAAAGAAATAACTGATGAATACAGGTGTCTGTTAAAAGAGCTGTTCATCAGAAAGATACCTCAAGCTTACAATTTACCATAAACTCCACTTAATGTAAACAGAAGTAATGGCCAAAAAAGTAAAAGCAACTTTAGGCTGAATTTTAGCAATATGGTATTCATATCAAGAGATGTACTAGTGCAGATGCATTCCATGCTAGTCAGACCATTTCTGGACAACTAATTTTATCCTAAACATAGTGTCTGGAGGAACTAACTAGTACAGATCAGGAGGAATGTATACATAATTGAAGAACAATCAGAAACCATGTTACCCGAGAAAAACTTGAAGGAATGAGAACTGCTCAGCATGGGGGGGAAGAAAAGATTCAGAAAATACAGATCTTCAAACAACATCAGAGTCTGTTAGAGAGAACAGAGTAAACTTGGTCTGTGTCTCTACAGAAGACAAAATAGAACCTTAGAGAGAGAAGATTAATTGTACCTTGGGTTTGAACTAACAGAGTTACAGCTATCTCCTAGGTAGTACTTCCCACCAAATGAACAGATTCAAGTAAATATTAGAAGTCACCTATCAAGGCTTTCTATTTTAGGAATAATTTCTATAATACATAGTGGGTTTGGGATGATACTTAAGTTCCCCTCTAATCCTAAAATTCCATGACTTTATCCTAGTTCAAAAATATATAATGAAACAAATGAAGTAAATGCATGAAATCCCAAAGAGTAGATGATATAAATTTTACCTCATTGTTCTGTAATGGTGGTTTTCCATTTTTCTTACTGCAGAGAAAAAGAAAAAAGAGCAAGAGAGCTTTATTTGCAAATTGTTTCCATCATAAAAAAATTATTTTAAGAAATAAAAAGAATAGATCAAATTCTCCAAATGAGTTTCTTCTTTTACATGTCACACTGAGACAGAATATATTAAATACAATAGTCCAACTGCCTCTTACTAAGTATAATTCACAGAAAATGCTCAATAAATGTTAACTACCACTATCATGTGTCAGGCATTACATTGTAATTTTTTCATACATACACAAATACATTTATTCTACAATTTCTCCCATGAAGATATGGAATCTATCTTTCCATCCTTGAATCAAGGCTTGGGTATGACATTAGCAAACTGATACAAACAAGGGCCTGAAAACATTTGTGTACCAGGCTCACTCTTTTGCTGCTGGGAATCCTTTCCCAGCCATGTGAGCAATCCCAGGTTAGTAGCCTAAAGGATGGGAGACTATGTGTCATTTCCATGTTACAAGTGAAAAAACCGGCTTGGAAGAGTCAGTAGCGTGACCAAGGTTCATGCAACTCAAAGTAGTTAACCTACCACTTGAACCCAGATCTGACTACTAACCCAGGCTTCCTCCCCTAAACTATAATAACCAAACTTGGCTTCTGTTTATATACACTACCACCTCACCCTATGCTTCTATATAATATTGATCACAGTTAAAATCTCTTGTTTAATGTATGTTTACTCCCAGTAAATTAGTTCCATGAAATCAGGAGCTACTGCAGGTTGGTCTCTCCAAAGTAGAGTACAAAATGTCTATTAGAGATCAGCATCTGTGAAAGAAAGGCAAAGAAGGAAAGCTAGGCAGAACTCAAAACTGTGATACACACCAACAAAATTTCAGCCAACCAGGTGGGAAGCCCTGAAGCAAGAAATGCTCATCCTAGTGCTCTGAGCTGGGATAAAATGGTAGGGTTTTTTAAACCTCTTCCTAACTCAATAAGCAGCAAATCTATCCCACTCCAGCAAGATCACGACCTTGGAGAAGGTAGCTCTGCAGCTGAGACAGACCCTAAGACGTGTGCAGAAGGGGTTACTTGGTGATTCACACTCCTCACAGCGGGACAATAAGCCCTTCTTTGAAGGGGAATCTGGATAGCACATCTCCTTTTCTACTACAAGGGTCATATATCACCCAGTCCTCTATGTTCAATACCTAGTTGAGCCCCAGCAATTTGCAGATTAAACATTTTCATTACAAGACACCATGTCACTGAGTAAGGCTAGAAAGACACACAACTACAATGCAGTAAATGCTACCATTTTTAAAGTGCTTAGGCATATTACTGTTTCTAATTTCAACTATACTGCAGGATTGCTCATTTGTTTTTAAATTTTCATGAGACTACAAAACTGTTTCAAAAGATGCCTTATATATATATATACATGTTCAAGCAGGCACAGTTAATTATGAGCCCCTTTCGTAAGACTTTCTAAATTCCTCTTTTTAAAGAATTCTTTAAAGTTTCCTCAGTTTGGAAGATACCAGCTATATGTGATTTAGTGTCATGTCCAACTCTTGCGACCCCATGGACTATAGCTTGCCAGGCTCCTCTGTCCATGGGATTCTCCAGGCAAGAATACTGGAGTGGGTTGCCATTTCCTTCTCCAGGGGATCTTCCTGACCCGGGAATTGAACCTGGGTCTCCTGCATTGCAGGCCAGCTATATAAGCCAGCTATATAAACACATAAATTGCTTAGGATATATGAGAGCCATATATTAGAACCCTGTTTAATGGAGTACATTTTTTTTTTACTTCATATGTCAAAGATTATTTATTTTTTTTACTTCATATGTTTAAAGGGTGGAGAGAAGTTAATGTACTTCCAAAAACAAGATCTACTAGTAGGCAGATTCAAGTCTAACAAAAATTCAGTATTTTCCTATTTTTGATTTTTATCCTATGAAACAAGAAAGGCTCTACAACAGACAGGTCTTCTACTCTTCTATGTTTCTTTTGACTACCAAAAAAAATCAACTTAGCAGCTAAATTAAATTCATTAAAATAAAAGCAGTCAACATGTTCAAAATATATTACCAGTATGAACACAAAATGGTGAAAGTGAAAGTCACTCAGTCATGTCTGACTCTTTGTGATCCCATGGATTATACAGTCCACAGAATTCTCCAGGCCAGAATACTGGAGTAGATAGCCATTCCCTTCTTCAGGGGATCTTCCCAACCCAGGGATCAAACTTAGGTCTCCTGCATTGCAGGCGGATTCTTTACCAGCTGAGCCACCAGGTGAAGTATCTGTAATCTGATTTGGAGAAGTCACTAAACATCAGCTATTTTGTTACATCTCAGGGTATAACCAACTGAAACTATTTTTAAGTCTAATTTTGTGACTATGTGAATAATGACCTTAAACCAGTTTATTATATCAAAATCGATGCTATGTTCAGACAGGAGCTGCTCATCTATTTTCTTCGTGCTCAATAAATCAGCACACTGGATGGCAGTCCTGCATCAATCCTTTTCATTGCCTTCCCAATAGCTCAGCCTGGGCAGAGGGAAGGAAAAGAGAATCCCAGTACCAGGATAAGATATATAAAAACAATTTGGTTCCTAGAGTAAGAAACAGAGGCACACAGAAAAGATACATTATCAAATGCACATGTTACCAAAAAGACAGGTAAACTATAAAGTAACATGGTCAAGAATCATTCAGACATCTACTAATTGCTTACTGCATGCTAAGCACTGTTCTAGATCAGCACTTCTCGAACCTTGTGGTCTCAGGATCCTCAAGAACTTTTATTTGTGTTACATAAATACTTATCACACAGAATTTCAACCTCAGAAAATTTTAAAAAATACTTATTTACTCATTTAAAGATAATAAACACCTTACACATTAAGTAAAATTTTTATTTTTAAAAAAAGCTGTATTTTCCTTAAAAAAAATTTACTAAGAAAAGTGGCATTGTTTCATATTTTGACAAATCTCCTTAATGTCTGGCTTAACAGAGGACAAGTAGATTCTCATATCTGAGTCTGTATTTACTCTCTCTACCGCAATACAGATATGTTGTTGCTGTTTAGTCGATAAAGTCACGTCTGACTCCTTGCGACGCCATGGACTGTAGCCCACCAAGCTCCTCTGTCCATGGGATTTCCCAGGCAAGAATATTAGGTAGCTGTAACACAGGAGTATTCTAGTAAGTGTGGATATTCTTCTGTGATACTATAATGTGGCAATGCAGTCTGAAAACTGTATCAATAAACTTATACTCTGATACAATAAAATTCACTCATCTATATTATATTACACTTTCAATGGCTCTTTTTACTCATTCCAGATTTTCTAAGATCATGTATTAGTCATTTGGACAATAATGCTTCACTGAGTTCAACTGCAGGCCTTCCAAATGCAATACATTGTATTATACAATATTTTTCAAAATTACACTTGCTAATATTGCCGCCAATCTTACCAGAAAGGCCTTCAGCACTGGGAAGCTAGCAAGCTCATGGTAGCAGAAAACTTTTCCAAATGCTGATTTTTCACTTGAAAGCTTAAATTATAACATTAACAACAAACACTGCCAGTTGTTTTTCCTTGAAGGCAATACAAGAAAATGTCTGCAATATTCAAGGCTGAATAAACACAGCTATTCAGTCTTTTGTCCAAGTAAAAATGATGTTACACACACACACACACACACACACACAAAGTAGCTAGTTCAGTTCACAACTCAAATAACTGAACAGTGCTTTCTCTGAAGACAACCTCTGTACTTGGTACACTGCAAGAAGTACTTCTGCAGATTTCTCATTTTTCTCTGCCAAAGACATTACAAAAAAGAAAGACAATAGTAGCCAACTATTTATTTTAAAAAGTCTATGAGGGTTTTATCCAAGAACTGCAAGATCAGGTTAACTTTTGAAAAATCAATGCAATTCATCCTATTAACAGTTTAAAAACGAATAAACATGATCATATCAATAGATACAGAAAAGGCCTTAGGACAAAACCCAACACCTGCTCATCCTAAAAAAGCTCTCACCTAGAAACAAAAGAAACTTCTTCAGTATAACAAAGGACATCAACACCTACAACTATCACCATACCAAATAACAAAAGACTTAATCTCTGTAACATCTGGAACATGCCAAAGACACCAACTCTCAGCACTTTTATTCAATATCATTACTGAAGCACACACTACAATAAGGTAAGGATTAGAAACAAAAGGCACACAGAATGAAAATGGATAAACTATCTTTATTGCAGACTCTATTAACATCTATATAGAAAACCCTAAAGAATCTACAAAAAAGCTAAGGGAGTTCAACTAGTTTCTAGGATATAACATCTATACATAAACATCAACTGCATTCTACATATGAGTGAAGAACAACTGGAAATTGAAATTTTAAACATACCATTTTCAAAAGCATCAAAATATTATTTAGTATTAAAATGAAAACAAACAAAAAAGATGCACAAGACTTGTGTCCTGAAAAATACAACACCCTGCAAAGAAATGTGCAAAGAAGACTAGAGAGATCTATCATGCTCAAGGATAAGAAGAGTCAATACTATTAAAATGTCAATTCTTCCCTAATTGATTTAGAAATCCAATGAAATCCCAATCAAAATCCTACCAGACTTTTCTGTAGAGTAACAAATTGAATCTAAATTCCATATGTAAATGTGGAGGACTTAGAACAACCAATAAATTCTGACAAAGAACAAAGTTGGAGGAATTGCACCTGATTTCAAGACTTATCATAAAGCTATACTAATTAAGACAGTTTGATATCAGAGTATAACTAAAGGTCAAAGAAATAAAAAAGTCCAAAGTAGACCTATACATATATAGTGCAAAGGCAACTGATTAAGGAAAGGATAATCTTTTAATCAATGGTACTGGATCAACTGGGCTTCCCAGGTGGTGCTAGTGGTAAAGAACACTACTGCCAATGCAGGAGACATAGAAGACTCAGGTTTGATCCCTGGATTGGGAAGA